CCTTGCGCACGGAGTGCACGCACCTGAGTTCTTCCAAATCCCAGCACGAAACCAGTCTCAACGTGATTAAACATGTCTAAACTTACAAAATGCAAGGCGTTGGCTAATTGCTCCTAGATGGCCAAGTTGGGGCATGTAGTACAAAGTGTAGCAAGGCTATCCAGGCTATCTCAGCAACGATCTTACAAAGCCAGCACCTAAGGCGACTGACAAAATGGTGACTCAAGGTGCCCGTGCCCAGGCGACAGGATGCAGCTGCACAGGCACATCCACCTGCATCGAGCTTCAGCTGGTTTCGGGGCATTTGTTTCTGGACAAAAAGTGCCTCACAGTTCCAAGTCAACAACTGGATTAGACCTCCGATGAGACCTGCGTCTGAACCTGCTCTTTCTGGAGTGCAAATCAAACCCAAAATTTTAGTTCATCGATTCCACAAAGGCCTGTTCCTCGGGGCGCGCTCGAGAGCTGCAACCGGTGCTTCTTTGGGCCTTGTATTGGCATCCGTTTGCATCCATTGGCATCCATTGGCCAGGCCATTCTTCCCGTCTGCAAATCAAAATGTCGAAGCCATTCAGAGATTGACCGAAGAACTCCAATGTGAAGGATCATCAGATATCAATGAGAATCAATGAGAATCGATGAGAATCAGATGGGTCAGATGAGTCAGAAAACTCTTTGGGTTTCACGAACAGTTCAAGTTGAATATCTGGAAGGAGTCCAAGGACTTGGCCTGCGAGGGCACATCGTGTGCCCTGGGCCGCACCGCCTCGGATCGATGATAAACCAGTTATATAGTTATATTATAAATTATAAAATATAATAAAATATATAAATCATAATAGTATTAATAGTATCAAAGACAAGAGTGTTAGAGATGATGGTCATCGTTATCAGATGTCTGCAACATCCTGTGGTGTCTGTGTGTAAGGCGTGGGTCTAAGGCACATCTTTTGCCAAGGCGCGCCGTAAAACGGTAAAACCGTAAAATGGTAAATTCCATTGTTCCCAAGAAACGCCCCGTAAAACGGTAAATTCGAAAATTTACGATCTGAGCGTGCAGCTTTCGGAGCGTAAAACCGAAAATTTGGTAAATTTGCAAAATTTACTGTAAACAAAATTTACCGTAAAACCGTAAATTTGTAAATTTGTTGCGCTAAGCAAACATGTAGTTTCCCAATTTCAAGGGGATAAGTGCATTGTTGTAAAATGGTAAATGCGTAAAGGCGTAATGTATCAATGTACTACAGCGTGAGGAGGAAGAGGCGGTAAAACCGTAAAACGGTAAATTCGTAAAGTTGTATCATGATACTACGAGATTAAAATTAACAGATTTACCGATTTACCGAATTTACCTTTGCCCTTGGTAAATTCATGTTCTGTGTGCAAAGCGTGGGCAGGAAAAGGTAGTAAAGCCGTAAAAGCGTAAAACTGTAAAGGAGGTGTGGAAGCGAAGGAAACCAAAGTAAAACCGTAAGTTGGTAAATTTATGTTTTTTCGTGGACAGCGTGAACAGGAAAGACGGTAAAGCCGTAAAATGGTAAATGCGTAAAGGCGTAATGTATCAATGTACTACAGCGTGACGAAGAAGAGGTGGTAAAACTGTAAAACGATAAATTCGTAAAGTTGTACCATGATACTACGAGATTAAAATTTACAGATTTACCGATTTACCGAATTTACCTTTGCCCGGACACAGCAAAATTTACCACTTTACCGATTTATCCACTTTACCATGGCCCGAAGAGCGACGAAATTTACCAATTTACCGATTTACCAAATTTACCATTGCCCGGAGAGCGTTCTCTCCTTAGCATCATGCCTTACACAGTGACGGCTTAGAAAAACATCCTCTACTAGAAGTTGTGCCATTGTGCCACGCCTCAGTACAGCGACAGTTTTGTCCAAAGGAGTAGCATGTCTTTCAACCAACTTGTTCATTGGCAGTGGGTATGAAAACTGAAAACTGCTTCATCGCAGGATTAAAATGGATTAAAGTGATCAAAGACGTTTGTGTTTCAAGCCTGTCTGCCTGTCTGCTTCTACTTCTGCTACTTTACTAGCCTTTTTTCAGATGATTTCGCTTGGGAGGGTCAAAAAGAAGAACCCTGAATCGGGTGATAGTGTTGATGATGTGCAAATGACTCGAACAAAGGAGGACGGCCATTGGCATTCTCTGCCGGTATGACAGGCTTTATAAGTTATAGTTGTAGTATGTTGTAGAAGTTGTAGTTATATAGGAATCAGAGCCAAATGAATCAATCCTTCACTGGCTGTGGGCCGAACTGGCCGTCGAGCAGAAGGCCGAGGCCTCAATTGACACTCCCATCTCAAGAAATGCTCAAATTCAGACATCCTGCGGCATGATTCTAGGAATGTCTACCGGCTTTGTATTAATTTCTGCTGGGTGAAGTTACAACTTTGACCCCTGAGAGTTCAATGATTTGATCATATTTCGTGCAACTTCATACTATTTCGTAGTATAATTTCGTACATGTTGTTACGGTTCTACAGTAATATGTTCTAACTTTCTATACATTTCTTATCATTTCTTGGTGTCCAAATTGTCGGATTCAAGAGCTGATTGGCCTTCTGAGTTTTGACACAACGTTTCGTCATCGCTCATCACACTTGCTTCGCTCTTGCATAACTTGCATGCGATGAATCAGAGCTCCATACCCTGCAGGCGCTCGCGGCACGATTCTTTCCTGCGCTGTGGAACTGATGCTCCCTTTAAAGCTTCCCTTTCACATGCCAGTCAAACAATATATGATCTACTTTCCCATAAAACGCACAGTATGCTTCTATTGGAGCGTGTAAAACGTACTCCATCATCACAATATACAAACATATCATGCAATTCCAAAAACATCATTGTGAAAGGCACCTTCCCTCGTCCGAAAAGATCCATGAGAAATCAGAACTCGGGTGTTTTGAAGACAATCCATGGCATTAGCACATTTAGCTTCCGCATGCTTCCGCCATCCAAGACCAATGTTGGCTGCTCCTCCTGCGCCATGTGAAGGAGCCTGGCTCTTGAGTCGGAGCATGCATTGGAAGTCACAGTATGTTACACTTATGTATCTTATAATATCTTATAATACTAGTATACCCATCTTACCCATCTTACCCATCTTACCCATCTTACTCAGCGGCTCTTTGGATCTCCTTGGGCCATTATAACATGTTGTAATATGTTGTAGTTGCAGCGGAGGCACAAAGCACTGCTTTTCCAAGGGACAAAATGACCAGAACTTCTGGAAAGCAGCACATTCTGCCAATTCGGGCCTCGTGCAGCAATCCCCTGAAACCCTAGCCGCTCTAGCTGAAAGCTGCGGAATGGCAATATTTGATGCTCCCAGAGGTTCAGTTCCGCTGTTCATCCGAAGCCGATTCTAGTCTTTGTGACACAACGGTGGGCACATGTTGCTGACTCTGTGGGTTCAAAGGAGGACGACATGGTGTTCTACACCCACTCCAGATTCTGCGTTTCCTCACTGGACACGCAAAATTGGATTCTTCTGCAACGATAGGGGATGGCTTTAGGCAAGCTTTAGGATTTGAGAATATTCATCTTAAGTGCTCACCATTTGAATAGAATCCGTGCTACCCTGTGCTACCTTGCTATCTCGTGGGGAAAAAAATGGTCTTGTTCTTCTTGGTGCTGGCAAAGTCTGCAGCGCTTCTGTTTTCTGTTGCACACATCTTTAAAATCAATCCTCCTGAAGAGAAAATCCAGGCCTGCTTGAGTTGTTGCTGACAACAACAGCCAATAGCGGATTGTCATCATTTCATGATTCGTCTCAAATGCAAGGATCAGAATTTTCCTTCGGTCCAGGGAGGTGCAAGACGAGCCCTCCCGCTCCGGGGAATCTCTGCACGCCCACGAGGCGAAGCTGCTCAGCCGCAAAGAACGGAGTTTGGCGGCCAAGCTTGTAAAATCTGGCCAGTAACAAATATCAGCATCTAAGAAAGTGACTCAGTGACACAAACACTACACATCACTATACAAGATCTATGGATCTATCATGACCTATTTAAATTTGCCCCATGCGTGCACAGAACTCGTCGCGTTTATGGAAAACATCTCCCGTGCTGGGCACTCATGTCATTACACTCATTTCACCTTGTTGCTCAGCCAGTCCAAGGTAACACTCTTCGGCCTGGCATCATTCCAAATGGAAATCAACTCTTGCACAAGCCCTGGCAGCATTGTTTAAGAATGTTTAAGGTAGTGTCAGAGCATCATAAGCAACATCCCGTCAATGCGACGCGGCACCACATCTTACAACAGCACCCCTGACCACGATGGCACAGGACCGCTAGACAAAAATATGTAATTACCAACAACAGAGACCTCAAATTCCAATGCGTCTGTGATACCATGACGCTATGATAGGGACGATAGGTCATGTATCATGGGAATACAAGGGATTCTGCTCACAAATCATTTTTGCTGCTAACATCTGCTAACCCAAAACTGTTGGAGCCGCACTGGATTCCAAGCAAAAGATATTTTCTCTTGCCTCTCAATAGGCAAGCCCATCATCCTGGACCTTAGCATGTGGCCCTCGTGTCATGCTTCTGTTGTCGCTATCCAGAGATTTGAATTTGATTTGATTGATGCCTTTTTTTTAAGCCTAAGCCACCTTTGCTGAACGCACGCGGCCGTTGGCCCTAGGTCCTGCTGTGTGAACAAGGTTCAAAACGAAACGGAAGAATCTATGGACAAGAGGAAAACTAAAAGGAAACTACCGCTGTACAATCATAGCTCTCATTTGATTGATGCCTGATGCTTCAAAAAATAGAAACACAAAGTTTCCAGACTCCAGACGGTGGGAATTGAACAAGCGCTTCCAGTGATTGCTCACTTGACATTTCTTTGAAAAGGATGCGCATCCAGGGTTTGGGACACTGATCTAGACTTTGGAATCATCACAGCATTTATTGCCGTATCATTGAGAAGCCTCAGACGCTAACATAGAGAATCTTGTCCGAGCAAGTCAAAAAGCAAGTAAACTATGAGGAGACGACTGACAACTACAATAGACCAATAGTAGACTTATATCCTTCGGTATCTGCACTTTTGCATGAATTGCAATCAAGGAACCCCCCTCTGCGAGGATGTCATTTGAAGCTGTGATGAAATAAGTTCGCCTAGTTCTAGCTTCTAGCCAAGCCCATCCACTTCCATCATGGGTTCCGCACCAAACCAAGTTAGAGCTGCAACCCAGCGCACGCGAGACAGCAAAGATAACCTTAGCATCGAAGCATTTGGCAAATATCAACTCTTGAACTGTGGGTATGGAAGTGCAAAGCACAGCCACTTGCTGCACATCCTTCAGGCTGCAACCGTGTAGTAGTCCTCCTGATTCAAGCCAAAGTACTGCCTTGGCATGCTCTCTTGGACTCTCTTGCATTCTTTCTCAACGGATGTTCTGCTGTTATCAGAGGCAGATAAATACTCTCACACATCCAGAAGCCAATCAACGCTAGAAATCTTCCGTCACTTCGAGCTTCTCCAAAAGGAAAGAGGTGGAAGTAAGCACAAGTGCCTGTCCAAAAAGCAATGAAAACTCTGTGTGTGTGTACGGAGAGCAGTGCCCTGTACTAGGAAGAAGGAATGTCTGCGGTTGTCAACTTGTTCCCTTCAATGGGCTGCCACACATGCACGTGCCGGAGAGAGCATCCACGTTTGGCCAAGGATTCCTTGGGCAAAGATGTAAGCTGTGGAAAGCTGTGGTACGGTACGCTTGTTGAGGCCTTGTTTAATGTTCGTAGCTTGGCCAAAATCGTGCCCTGAGCCAATCTGAGCCATCTATTGCATCTTGCCAAGAGACTTCACCTTCCCTGTGGCTTCCAGCACCGGAGGAATCGCCTCAAAATAGCTTTGCGATGACAAGGCCGGGTCATCCCAGGTCGCAATCTTTGCATAGGTGTCACAACACGCGACCATGCCTCAAGATTCTTTTAATTTACAGAATCTAAAGCAGAGTTCGGAGAAACAAGCGGACGTGACAAAAACAGCACAATTTGCACTCACTAGCGCCTGGAAGCAGACTTCTGCCAGCTTCACCAGTGGGTCATTTGGGAAGTTGTCCTGACCGAAAGCTTTGAAGCTGCCGATTCACACGAGCCCAAGGTTCAATGACTTGAGGCTAGTAAGACACTCTTCTTTCCATCCTGTGCAAAGCCAACCACAAAGAGATCAAAGCTCAAATTGCACTCCGATCTCTTTCGAAACAACCAACTCCCCACTGTTCACCTGGGCAAACTGCCGCTGGATGGTATAGCGCCTAAGTATCGAGAACAGCGGCTGGTTGGCAAGGAGGAATCTTAAAGCTGCTCTTCCAATCCCTCAATTGACTGCCACAATCAAAGTAAACACCCTAGTCAGGCATGTCTGTTCTTCCCCAAATCATAAAACATGTTCAGCACAGTGAACGCAACGGGTGCAGAAAACGAGCTTGACGCGACATATGCAAAGGAACACAAATTACACTCTTGGTTGTGAGATGTGTGATTTGAGTGATATGAGATTGTTGCTACCTTTACCTTTCATTAGCTTTTCCAAACATCCCCTATAAAGGATTGACCCTTTGCCTTTGCTGATCTTTTCCTGGACATGAACCTGCCCAACCCCCACCAACTGTGCCATGCCACGGGTCGGTGTTGCGCAAGACTCCGTGTCCAAAGCCTGGAATCACTTTTCCAGACGCCAAAGTGTCCTCAACAGGGCGGCTTCAACATGACATGCAGATTTGTAGCCTGTCGAAGCAGAGCTGAAACAAAAGTGGACATGAGTTGCCCACAGCTCAACGCCACCCCCATGTGTTGGGCTACAGTGCCGTCTTGAATGGGGCAACATCATCTTGCACTGTTGACTCAGTTGAGGCACCACCAATCGACTTTAACGACTGCTGGCCGGCTTGATGTGCGTCTGTACAACAGAAGACTGCTGACAGCTTTGAATAAAGGAATGTGACCCAAAACAACACATACCAGTAGGAGGCCTCAATTGCTCAGCTTAACAATCTGCCATTGCAATCTGCACATGGCACATGCCTTGAAATCAGGATCAAGTGACAGGCAAGCTTTGAATATCTGCCCACAGCTCAACGCCACCCCCATGTGTTGGGCTACAGTGCCGTCTTGAATGGGGCAACATCATCTTGCACTGTTGACTCAGTTGAGGCACCACCAATCGACTTTAACGACTGCTGGCCGGCTTGATGTGCGTCTGTACAACAGAAGACTGCTGACAGCTTTGAATAAAGGAATGTGACCCAAAACAACACATACCAGTAGGAGGCCTCAATTGCTCAGCTTAACAATCTGCCATTGCAATCTGCACATGGCACATGCCTTGAAATCAGGATCAAGTGACAGGCAAGCTTTGAATATCTGCCCACAGCTCAACGCCACCCCCATGTGTTGGGCTACAGTGCCGTCTTGAATGGGGCAACATCATCTTGCACTGTTGACTCAGTTGAGGCACCACCAATCGACTTTAACGACTGCTGGCCGGCTTGATGTGCGTCTGTACAACAGAAGACTGCTGACAGCTTTGAATAAAGGAATGTGACCCAAAACAACACATACCAGTAGGAGGCCTCAATTGCTCAGCTTAACAATCTGCCATTGCAATCTGCACATGGCACATGCCTTGAAATCAGGATCAAGTGACAGGCAAGCTTTGAATATCTGCCCACAGCTCAACGCCACCCCCATGTGTTGGGCTACAGTGCCGTCTTGAATGGGGCAACATCATCTTGCACTGTTGACTCAGTTGAGGCACCACCAATCGACTTTAACGACTGCTGGCCGGCTTGATGTGCGTCTGTACAACAGAAGACTGCTGACAGCTTTGAATAAAGGAATGTGACCCAAAACAACACATACCAGTAGGAGGCCTCAATTGCTCAGCTTAACAATCTGCCATTGCAATCTGCGCATGGCATGTACTGAGTTGTTGATTGATGGCTTTGGAAGTCTTGTTTCTCCGCCTGCAAGACTTTGCCTTGTTATGTTTGAACAAAGGCTGAAAATGATCTGCACTCCTTGGCAAACTGGGTGAGCAGCTCGACAGTAGGTTCTTTTCCTTGGCACTGAGAAAGTTCAAATGGAGGGTAAGTGACAGGGACGGATGAAATGGGAAAAACATTGGACAAAGGACCTTGTCCCCCAGAGTCCCAGAGTTGAACTCTAATGAATTCTAGACCTTTCGAAAGCAGCGGTCTCTACCGGACTCTACCACGTTTCACTCTCGACCAAAAAGCTGAGAGCTTTGCCTCCCAGCTCGGCTTTGGTGTTCTTCAGCCAACGAAGGCATTCCTGGCAAAGAAGTGTTGGAATTTGAGAACAGCATCCTGCTGCCTCTGTGCAAAATATTCATGTCTGACCGAGACAAAACAAAGTGAAACAAGGTCTGAAACCAGAGCAAGAGTTTTCTAAAAGAGTTGAAAGGGCCTCTAGTCTCGAAGCTAAGCATACATAGAGTGCGGTCCAGCAAAATCTCTATTACTATGAGAAGCTAGTAGAAGACCTGGAAACTCCAGAAAGTTTTGGTGTCCTTTTGCAGGAGTTGACCAAAATTATTTGCCCAATTTGACTCCAACGGCAAAGTGTCTCCTGATTGGCAAGGCCATGAAGAGGGCCAGCCTCAACAATGTTTCTGGAATTTGTGAAAAAAATGCTTGTGGAAGACCAAAACTGCGACTGGTATGATGAAGACAAAGGGCTCTGGATTCTTTGAATGTGTCTATCTTCTTTTGGCCCTGCCAAAACATGTTCTGAAGCTGTGCTGAGAGGAGCACCAAGCCGCAAACCCCAGCAGCATAGGCATAATACCTGGTGGTCGAACAACTGTTCTCAAGGACTGAGCAACAATTGATCGTTGACCCACTCCCGCCACAACCGCCACAGCTGCAAATGCAACGCTGCTACAAGTTCGGTTTTTGTCAACCAGGAGAAGGCACGGATCACTCAAGGCGCTACCAACCAAGTGAGTCGTGTGGGCAGAGACATTGCCAGCCTGGCCGCTCCCGGCCGCTCCTATGTGTCCCAGACTTTCCAACCTTTCAAAGGGATAAGACACGTCGAATCCAGTATATTCACGAGCAGGAATCTTCCAGGGTCAATGGCTTAAGGGTCTTCATACACCTTGATGTTTTGTTGATCTTTATATCTTTAAGGGGGTTGTTTTCGTTCAGACCTCATGGCACGCAACCCAACACAGGAGCCACGCCTCATGGTCAGCATGCAGCATCAGGTACAAACGTGTGACATCCTTGAACAAAGCATCGTCAGAAACACCTGAGCGCAGACGAAGCTTGGGGGTCTGCCCTCATGCTGAAATGAGAATAGCTGTTCGGCAACTTAGCCCTTCCCGATCTCACCGCGCACCACTGTCACGTCCAAAGGGATCTCTCTCTCTCTCTCTTTTTTCCACATCCAAATCTCTCCAAGCTTTGAAGAGTTGTAGCTGGCACTTGGACGAAAGTTCGTCTTGCCGTGCCACAGCAAGGAAATGCGCTGCTGCCCGCTGCTCCAGCCGCAGACTTGCTGTACGCGAGTGAAGCGACTTGGTCGATGAGCTGCTTAAGGTTGTAAGGTGCCAGAAACGCAAGACCCAGCAGCCCAAATCCCATGGATCTGCACATGGACTTGCTGGGTCCAAACGTTTCGAGTCTTTCACAACATATGAAGCACGAGATGCATGCGAAGACTGCAAAACAGAAGCCCTTTGGCTTCGTGAAAATGCCTTCCAGGCATGGAAAGGTTTGAGTTGCTGATGACGCCATCGAAAGTCACAAAGTTTTTTGGCAACGTGCTGTCTTCGCAAAAGCATCGCCTTGCATTGAAAAGCTCTGCTTATCAAATCTGGGGAACCCTTGTCTCACCAAGCGCCATGAAAGAGTATAAAGCAATGGTTTTGTTGATATAATACCTACAGTATGAGTCGATCTATCCATCAATCTACGTATCTACAGACCATTTGTTTGTCTGCAGCTCGGCACATCTATCTATCGATCTTTGTGTATATATATAGTTTAATCTACCGTATTCTACTCTATATACTCTACTCTACTCTAATCTCATCTAATCTATATAATCTATATATAATCTAATCCAAACTATGTAATTTTATATAATCTAATCTAATCTAGCCCAATCGTCTCTAATCTGATCTTATCTCCTCTCATCTAATCAATAGACTATAGACCATACAGAGGTAGCCATTCATATCTATCCATCCATAGACGAGGAGGCAGAGACGTCAGAATGATAGAGGGATAGAGGAAGAGACCATAAGAGACCTATTGTGGTGTTCAAATCCGGCTTCGGCCTTCCCGGCCTTCCCGGCCTTCCCGGCCTTCCCGGCCTTCCCGGCCTTCCCGGCCTTCCGCAAGAGCACTTTCTGCCATGCCCACAGCATTTGTCGCAGGCATCCTGTGACCACACTCCCCAGCAGCTGATCTATCTGTCGTAAGCGCCGTTTCCGTCGTGAACGCTGCTGCCACTGTCGCCACAAAGCACGCAACCGCCAATGCGGCAAGTGAGAAACGAGGCGTGCACTACCTGGAGAGGGAAAAGGATGAGACATGATGAGACAATGAAATTCATAGATTCTAGATGTAAATTTGATGTAAATTTGATGTAAATGCTTGGAAATGTACATTTGTAAGCATCCCTTCTTGGCAATGTTTTAGCGGGCTAAATTGGTGCTTGCTACTGCCCCACAAATACATATAATCTCAAGCATCCCACCCACGCCTTCGTCCAATGAAAAGGAAAATCCGTGGTCATGGCTGATGGAGCCAATATAATATACAAGGCTTACAAGGAATCCATGCCCGGTCTTCATGGTAGCAATGACCATCAACACCATCCGCTATTTAATAAAAACATAGCAAAAAAATGCAAAAATACTTTTCAAAACGAATAAAACAAAGAGTTTGATCATCCAAGCAACCAGACTGCGCATCTTCGTTCTCATCCTTCCACAGCTTTGGCTGATACCTCACAAGCGAGTAAAACACAATAAAGCAGTCATGCAATGCAGCAGGATCTCCACTGTACTCTAGCGACTCTAGCTAGGCTATTGAATTGCCTTCGAGACACAAAGTGGAAGGTATTTGGCACAACGGCTCAAATGGAGGCAAACTTTGGTCTCCTCAAGTGGGAAGAAGCTGATTCACATGTTATGCTAAAGTTTTGAATCGACTGCCTATCAAAGACTGGATCCGAAGTGGCTTAGGGTTGGTTTTGCAGCCAAAAAATGACATGGTCAAAAGGCCGGACTGCATGTATTGTCTTCAGTTCAATACAGAACTCACCTTTCGTCTTTCTCGCAGCCCCAGCAACGGAACTTTGCAACGCCTGCTGTATACAAGCAACAACACCACACACATTGCTGCCAAGTCAGCAAAACATTGAAATCAAACCAGCTCCTGTAGTGGGGCACGTCCCGGCAAATGGCCATGGCGGCCATGTCTCGTGGATCTGCATGCGGATGCAATGCGAAACCTTTCCCTGGTTCCATCTCCACCTTCATGTTTGTACAAGTTGTCGTGGTGTTGAAACTTCAAAAACATGGACGCAACTCTATATATGGAGGCTTCCTGAAATGGAGGTACCTCAAAATAGATGGTTTTTAATGAAAAATCCTATTTAAATGGATGATTTGGAGATACCTCCATTTTAGGAAACCTCCATATATAAACTGCACGCAAAACGTATATCAACATGAGGTGGCAAAAAATTGCCAAAGGAAACCGAAATAGTGTCTGCTTGTTCGCCATTGCCACATTGCACTTCCAACACCTGGAGGCTGAACTTTGAGCCTTGAAAAGATGAAGAAAAATGCTGATTTTCTCGTCAGGAGTTGCTCGTCATGAACTGAAGCATATGACAAGATCCAAATCGGTATGGTGTTCGGCAAGGATCTGTGGCATTTCAACTGACCTGACTGACCTGACTAAATCTGGTCGGACTGCAAACATTGAAGATCATTGCATTGTTATGCATTGTTCTGCACCCTCAACTTGGGGAGGATTTCGGCATTGGTGTTTCCAGTTTATCGTCTAAGCAACCGGCCGAGCATCTGAGCATAATTGCCAGCCCAGTCCAATGATGGGTCGCTCGGGATCTGGCGCAGATTGGGTCACCAGCAATTGGCCAAGCATGACATCTTGCATCAGGATCAAACAGCCCGGAAATGGGCATCCCTGCGTGCTTGCCCTCCATGAAGACGTTCCGGAAAATTCGAGCGGCCAGCACGGGAACTTTTGCCACGAGGGACAACGCCTCGACGAAAGTTAAGTTATGTTGAATCAAATTGAACCTACCACAACGGGAAATGAGCCTACTGGTACGGAAAGGTAAAATAGTTCGTTCTTTCACTAAAGGATATCCTTCCTCAAAAGCCTACAGCTGCACTAATGCCCTCTGTCAACACCTGGGGACATGTTGCGAACCAGATGACCTGGATTTGTGCGGGTATTTGATATCACCATTTTTGCACACCCTGACGTTCATGTTCAAGTTGCTACCAAAGTACTGTCATGAGGGCAAGGGGCTCACTTTGGGCATGAATTTCAGCTCACTTTGGGCATGATTTTTTGAGGTTCACTTTGGGCATAAATGGGATCACTTTGGGCATAAATGGGATCACTTTGGGCATAAACGGCAATTCTTTAGGAATTCTTTGGGGGTTCTTTCAGGTTCCCTTGCCTTCACTTCCAACACCCAGTTTCGACTCACTTCCAGTTTTTATGTTGTTGCAAGTAATGGAACCAGGGACATGACACCTTTAGGGTTTTTATGTTGTTGCAAGTAACGGAACCAGGGACATGACACCTTTAAAGTTTATATGTTGTTGCACTTAATGTAAGAAGAGCCACGACACCGTTAGGGTTTATATGTTGTTGCACTTAATGTAAGAAGAGCCACGACACTTTTAGGGTATGTATGTTGTTGCAAGTAATGTAAGAAGAGCCATGACACCTTTAGGGTTTATATTTTGTTGCACTTAATGTAAGAAGAGCCAGGACACCTTTAGGGTTTATATGTTGTTACACTCAATGTAAGAAGAGCCGCGACACCTTTAGGGTTTATATGTTGTTGCACTTAATGTAAGAAGAGCCACGACACCTTTAGGGTCTGTATGTTGTTACACTTATTGTAAGAAGAGCCACGACACCTTTACGGTTTATATGTTGTTACACTCAATGTAAGAAGAGCCACGACACCATTAGGGTTTATATGTTGTTGCACTTAATGTAAGAAGAGCCACGACACTTTTAGGGTCTGTATGTTGTTGCAAGTAATGTAAGAAGAGCCACGACACCTTTAGGGTTTATATTTTGTTGCACTTAATGTAAGAAGAGCCAGGACACCTTTAGGGTTTATATGTTGTTACACTTAATGTAAGACCATGAACTCAACGAGACACGCCCAGCACAGGTGCTTTTAGATGCGCCTTGAAAAGTTAGCGCATCACACCATGAAGTGAACGAGACACGCCCTGCACAGTTGCATTATGGCACGCCGTAATAGTTCCTGGCTCTTGGGTCTATTTCCTGTAGCAAACATGGGATGCAACCCGTCCATGGTAATACCCCCACAAATGTCCACATCGAGACTCCTAGGCAAGCCCGCACGCGTCCAGAGACAGCACCGTTTAGCCCTGAGCCCTACACGGCGGAGATGTATCCACTTTACGCCCGAAGGGAGCCCAAATTTACGCCCGAAGCGAAACCATATTTACGCCCGAAGCAAACCCCGGCCCTGTCATGAGGGGTGGCAGTACATACAAACACTACAGCCAACAAACTCCTCTCGTAACTCTAGGTCAATAACACAAGTAATGCAGGGAAGACCTTCTTCGAAGGAGAAAAACGTTTGAAAACACGGTGCTCATGATTCATGAGGGACTGTCATGGATGGCCTGAACATCCCCTAACTATCCCAATTTCATTCTTGTGATCACCTTGCTCGTGGAATGACTATATAGTTATATATCAGGGATGGAAAAGGTCAGACACATAAGTCATCGCATGTTTTTCTCATTACAGTGAAGTGGCATTGCTCTGAGCGTCCTTTCTGGCACTTTCCGGAGTATAGTGAATCGAGTGATGGCAGCTTCCAGCTTGCTTCTATGCACTCCGGGACTATGCATTGCATTTGCATCGTTAGAAACTGCGCTTGTTCTGATCGCTAGTATGTGCTCCACCCAAAAAATTGCAATGCGTTCAATCAATTCACCCCAACAGAAATATCAGGATGGTGAAGGGACTTATTTCTAGTCTTGACTGGTTGTTGCGTCTTGAAGTCTCTGGGCTTCCATGCGTCCTCCAGTGTGTAGACCCTCAGTCAAGCAGTCTTGGTCAACGAAGGCAAATCGACCCAAGAATCCTGTGACAGCTACAGAATCTGAGCTACCCAAACCAATAGTCAGTCTTCTTCAAATTGCCTGATCTGTATGCCTGCCCAGGACATCGTGGATCAGAAGGAGCGTTGCTCTGACACTGATCTGCACACCGTCGCAATCCTGAACCAACATCGCAAAAAGATGTATAAAAAATACAAAACAAATCTTCGTTAAGGTCAGATCAAATGTTTCAATGCGTTGACAACTTTGGCTTGTACACCGCAACTCGGACCTTCCCAAATTCGCTGGTAGGCTGCAGGGCCAAGAGGCCCATGCTGAGCTGAGTCATTGGATGAGTCTCCTGCTTCAAGCTGCTTCGGTCCAAGTTCGCATCCAAGTTCACATCACAAATTGACGAATGTAATTGGTGTCTGGAAGAGTATGTACTTTTAGAATCTTTTAGAGTATATACAAATAAGTCCGAGCTTGTTGTTCTAGGGTAGGAAATCTTTCGACAGGAGCAGGGAACTTGGATACCGAAAATGTCTCCGCTGAAACTGCCAGAAGGCCACAACTGTTGGGAGAAGAGCTCATGCAGAGTCTGTTGTTAAAACATGTCCATCGCTTGGAAGGAAATAGCAACAGCTGCAGGCTCCTTGGGCAAGCTGTCAATCATAGTCACAACACTTTGTGGAAGTGTGGACCTCTTGTGAAGTTCCTCATTCAGGGCCTCCAGCAATCCCAGCAATCCAACTTCAACTCCGCTGCTGGACAAATCTGCAGTGACATACAATGCGATCAATGCATGTTCGTTACTGACCACACCTTGACTTCTGCATCTGAAGGCATTTCATCCGTCAGGAGCAGCCAAAAGGAGGCCTAGAGGTTCGCTGTTGAGCCCTGGAATCCGGAAACAGACTATCTGTCTATCTATCTATCTATCTATCTATCTATATATATATGTATATAGATATGGATATATATAATTATATATATATAGAGATATGGATATAGAATGATATAGAAGCATTTGATGGGATGGTAACAGGTTCTTGAAAAGGGGGCAAGAGTTGCGCAAGGCTCGTATTTCCATGGCAGAATTTTGCCCACAATTTCTATGTTTCCCGACCTCGGGGAGGCCAATTTTGCTTCCAGGAGCCTTTGGCAATTGGTCCATGCATTCCTCACGCAAGGGACCGATGGATTGAGACTACAACTCAAGTGTTCACGGTAAGATAATGAGAGCGAAGGTAATGCTTGTGAAATAGTCATAGTCAAGGCCAGCTTGCAATGAATCGAATAACAAATGGCAAGAAACTTTCAGCACATCTTGTGGAACAACAATGTCATAAAAAGATTCATAAACACACTCTTTGATTTCTTGATCATCGATGGAGTACCATACATTTCTCTTAACCTCCCTGGCTTGCAGAATTCTCCTGAAGCGTCCGACCACGGTAGCGGATTCCCTCCATAGGATCCTGACGACACACAGTTTGACACTGGACACTGGCATCATATCGTGCCTTTGACCCTACAGCAGCGCTCCAGCAAGGAGGTCTCGCTGACCAAGCAGGTGATGCCACGCATACCACCAATGCACCTGCAGAAATGTCAGCTTTGAAATGTGAGTTCAGAACCTACGCTTCCTGGTCAGTATCAAGCTTGAACAATCGGCTTGTTCCCATCAGCAGTGACTGTTGGGTTTCAATCTCTGGGTCTGGGAGCCAAAAAACTGGACTGGAATCAGAACGCTGGAACCCTGGAAGCCTGGTACCTTCTGTTGGGTTGCAAAGATGGGCTGATCGTATCATAAGAAAATGTGTAGAATCCAATGCAATAAACAGTCCAATCCAATACGGCACGAGTGACACTTGGACGGTCAATGAGCTCCCTGCTGGCCAACTGTAGTCTCACCAAGGACTTTGTTGCCATGTTCCTGTTGCAGTCATAAGGGACAAAAGGAGGCCTCAGAAAATTAAGAAAGGAGTATAATATAAAGGAGTAGCGAAAAGGATCCAAGTCAACCCACCCGTCGACAGAGTTCTGGATCAGCCAAGTTTTTGTGTTGGGAGTTAGCAATTTCAAACAGAAGAGGGGAAATGCATGCAAATGCAAAGGGGTGCTAGTTCTGCCTGCAGCCAAAGCCAGACTAGAGAATCTACCAATCGAGAAAACAAAAATGTGTCCAACTCCATTAAGAAGATTTTTTGAATTCACTCCAGCTGTAAGAAACGTGGGAAAAAAATGGTAAAACAGGGGAACTGGGACAAGACAGGTTGGAGGTCAGGTGGGAGGCTGTTATGTTTTTGTTCAATGTTGTAAATCTAAATGTTTGACTGTTTCTTTCTGTTAATCTTGCTAAATGTTTCGTCGGAGTTGTTTGATTAATGTTTGGTTTGGATGAGGGTAGGGTATGTTGAGGTTGTTGTGGTTTTACTGTATGAGATAGTGTCCATTAATGTTCATTTGATGTTTGATGCTTTCTTCGTGTCGTTTCATTGTATATTTTCTTACTTCACATTTACAAATTGGACATTCCAACGTTTCTTTCTTTTTATCACTTATGAAAGAGGCAAGGCACGTGCCAGAGCATACTATCACAAACATACAGAGGAAATAATAGAAAAACGCCGTTTGAATGAAGAGAAAATAATAGAACAACGCCTTTTGAAGGTTGAATGTCCGTTTTGTAAGCGTGAATTTGTTCAATACTATGCTCTATGGCATCAAAAGAACAACGGTGTCAAACAAACGGGAATTGAACATGAATAGATAAAACATTCTGATTAACAAAGCGTTGTTAATGAGAAGGTTTTATTTTTAGTGTCGTCTGCTGTTCATACATCTGTTGGTTTGACGGTGTTTTGATAGATTGGATTTGCTTGTGATGGTTCGTCCGCAGTCTGGACAAGTGAAAGGGGTTGATAATTTCTTTTGATAATACTTTGAAAAATAATTGGGGTCTAATGGTTTCTTGTCGTAAGTTCCGTCGGGTTTCCATCTTGTGGATGTTGTGGTTGGTGGATTTTGAGGGTTGCTGGATTGGTGTAGTGTTTCCGCCATTTGGTCAAAAAGGTCTTCGTCCATTTCTTGCTTCATACCGCTAATATACATATAGCAGGGCATATTCAATTCTTGATTTTATAAGGCGTCATTTCTTTCAGTGTTTTTGGGTCTGTTGCTCTAAAAATTGTGTTTTTAACAAGTGTCCTAAATTGATGTTTTTTGAACGCTAAAACGATGGTTTTAGGACACTTGTTGAAGTAAGGATTTTTTGTCTTCAAAAGTTCAGGGTGAAACGATTTGTCCGTGTTTGATGGTTTGGCTATAAAAGTTGAGGGTGAAACGATTTGTCCGTGTTTCATGCTTTTGTCAAAAGTTGAGGGTGAAACGATTTGTCCGTGTTTGATGGTTTGGCTAAAAAAATTCAGGGTGAAACGATTTGTCTGTTGTTGCTTGTTCGGTGAATGATTGATACTCGGTTCTGGGTACCGTTGATACTTGGATACTGGTATCACCGTATCATTGATACTCGGTTTGGGGTATCATTGATACTCGGTTCTGGGTATCATTGATACTCGGTTCTGGGTATCATTGATACTTGGATATTGGTATCTGGGTATCATTGATACTCGGTTTGGGGTATCATTGATACTCGGTTCTGGGTATCATTGATACTCGGTTCTGGGTATCATTGATACTTGGATATTGGTATCTGGGTATCATTGATACTAGGCTCTGGGTATCGTCGATACTTAGATACTGGTATCTGGGTATCATTGATGCTAGGGTTGAGTATCTGCGGTTATGCAGGCAATATGTGAAAATTACTCTTGGATGACTCACCCACAAAACATCTCAAGCGTCACAGTTTTTTTCACCGGCGAAGCTCACATGTATCCTGCATCCCTCAACTTCTGCTCATCCTCTTGAAAGAGCTTGGCGACGAAATGCCAGTGCTTCAAAGCCACAGTTTCACTGGTTGTTCTCCTCAGGACGCAGTCTGCTGGCTCCTCACGAAGAAGCTTCAACTTCATTTTGGTGTCTTCGTCGCTCTCTGGGAGATACCCCATGGGTCCTGCCCCTGCCACCTGGAGGAGATAGTCCTTCACTTCCTGGTCATCCAATTTCCTTTCAATTGGTTCCACCCTCTCCTTGTACTGCTGCTCAACCCGCTTGATGACCGCATCCGCACCTTTCTGACCTGCTCTGGAGACATTTCGCAGTATCAAGTCCAAGTCGCGGAAGTTGCCCCCCGCGCGGATGTAGTAGTGCTTCAACACCTGCTCCATGTCATCTTCGGCAAGAACCTTGTTCAGCGTCCGGAAGTCGTTTCCCTGCTTCGCCACCTCCTTGACCACAGACATGAAGTCTTCGAAAGGTAGTGGTCGCACCACCACCAAATCTGACATGTTAAACCTTTCGGTGATGATGTCTGCCACTGCAGACACGCTGACCTCCAAAATGAACTTGCACGCGGCATTGTCGTAGGTGATGTTGCGAGCGCAGGCACCGAGGGTGGAAGCAATGTCATCACAGGCATCCCTACTAAATTTGTCTCCGCGGCTTTTGGTTGTGAGTTGAAGGTATACCACGACGGCACTGCCTGTTCGACGCTTGGACGTCTCATTCACCCGTTCCAGCAAAAAATTGACATTTGACGGGTAATATCGGGGCAAATCTACGGCTTGTAAGGCTTGGGGTAGCGCCTCGTTCAGTTTCAAGTCCTCACCAGGACGAACAGAAATTTCAAGAGGAAGCGCCCTTTTGCCATTCTTCACATGCTCACACATGAGATTGTTCAGCATGGTTGATTTCCCAATGCCTTGGGAACCACTGACCACCAAGAAGGAAGGGGTGCTCAAAGCTTTACGTTGAGGTGAATTGATGAAGTCCTTGATGTATTCCTCCTCGACCGGCCATGCAGGGGCGGGCGCTGTCCTTTCCAGCCTTTGCCCAGCCTTCCTCACTGCCCTGTTCATGAAGAAGCCAGGAAGGAACCTTTGAATGAGAGCTTGGAGAACCAGCACTACGACGCTCCCTGTGCTCAACAACGTCCATCCAGTTTTAACGGTCTGCGCCGGAAAAGCCCTTGCGGGCTGTGTTCGTGCATGACCGCTTGGAAGGACGAACCGGCCTGGCACAAGCTCAACCTGCCTCACAAAGATGCATCTGCGGAATGTCGAAGGAAAGGGACAATACATCGGTTCAGTCAATTTGTGCCAAACTGGCTTTGGTATTGAAGGATGCTTGACATGCAAAACCAAACAGGAACCACAGCGCCTAACCTCAATCAATACATGAATTTGAAGCAAATAATTCGACATCTTTGAACAACAGCTTGTTAGAATTTGAACCTGAACCTACACATAGAAACTCTGACCACCTCAACAATTATCCCCTTCATTCAATCCAAACATTATCACAACAACCTCAACAACACATTTAGCAAGATAATCAAAAAGAAACAGTCAAACATTTCAGATTACAAGATTGAACAAAAACATAACACCCGCCCAACTGACCTACAGCCTGTCCTGTCCTAGTTTCCCTGTTTTACAATTTTTTTGTGGGACAACCATCTTTAGGCCAAGCTCATGCTCATGCTCATATATTTCATCGAGAGACCCCATGTTTCCCTATATTCTAACATGAAACTTGAAGATGCTGCGATTTGAATTTCTTATTGCTTTCATATAATTCTTTCTCGCTTGACTATCTTGAGGCAAGTCTTGACTCCTCTCTTGTTTCCAAGTAGATCCCCTGCGAACTGATCCGGTCGCCGCACCTTCCGCAGTGCTGTGAGTTGTGGAGCCTTCTTGTCTGCCAAGCCCTCGCAAAACGTGTGGCATGTGGCAGATCCTCCCTGTCTGTGAAATAGTGGGGACTTCAGCTCACAGTCTGCAGTTACTTCCAAAAACAAGTTCATCACTCGCCAGAGAGATGCGTTTTCACTTAACTTATCAAAGGAAGTTGGGAAGCAATACTTCCGAGTTACGAATGACTTTTACTTGATGAAATTGACTATGATGAAGGGTGGTACGTGATCTAACAACAATACATAATCTAACAATGCATAACAAAAGAATAAGAAGCTATGAAATTGACTATGATGAAGGGTGGTAGATCATGTAACAATACATAATCTAACAATACATAACAAAAGAATAAGAAGCGATGAAATTGACTCTGATGAAGGGTGGTACATCATGTAACAATACATAATCTAACAATACATAGCAAAAGAATAAGAAGCGATGAAGTTGACTATGATGAAGGGCGGTAGATCACATAACAATACATAATCTAACAATACATAACAAAAGAATAAGAAGCTATGAAATTGACTATGATGAAGGGTGGTAGATCACATAACAAAACATAATCCAACAATACATAACAAAAGAATAAGAAGCTATGAAATTGACTATGATGAAGGGTGGTAGATCACATAACAAAACATAATCTAACAATACATAACAAAAGAATAAGAAGCGATGAAATTGACTATGATGAAGGGTGGTAGATCACATGACAATACATAACAAAAGAATAAGAAGCTATGACACAGGGTGGTGAGGAAGGGAAGTGGTGAAGAAGGGAAGTGATGATGAAGGGGAGTGGTGACGAAGGGAAGTGGTGAGGAAGGGAAGTGGTGGAGAAGGAAAGTGGTGACGAAGGGAAGTGGTGAAGAAGGGAAGTGATGATGAAGGGGAGTGGTGACGAAGGGAAGTGGTGAGGAAGGGAAGTGGTGAAGAAGGGAAGTCGTGACGAAGGGAAGTGGTGAAGAAGGGAAGTGGTGAAGAAGGGAAGTGATGATGTTGCATCGGCTTTGTGTTGGGGAGGAAGCTGGACCATGAATCCTTGTGTTTTTCCGTGTAAAGTGGCTGCAGCCGGCGATGAAAGGTACCTCGTCTGTGCGGCGGTTGCGGCTGCGGTCGTTTGGTTCCTTCTATGTGTTTTGCAACAATGGTTGTTCCTGTGTGCGTAGTTCTATGCGTTTCTTGAAGCTGTGGTTGCAGATCGCATTGGAATGGCTGCATGAATGTTGCATGCTGTGTGTTGTGGGGAGGAAGCCGGAGCACGAAACCTTGTGTTTTTCCGTGTAAAGTGGCTGCAGCCGGCGATGAAAGGTACCTCGTGTGTGCGGCGGGTGCGGCTGGGGTCGTTTCATGCGCGAATTGGTTCCTCCTATGTGTTTTGCAACGAGTGGTTGTGTCTGTCTGCGTAGTTCTATGCGTTTCTTGAATCTCTGGTTGTGGATCGCATTGGAATGGCTGCATGAATGTTGCATGGGCTATTGTGTGGGGAGGAAGCCGGAGCACGAAACCTTGTGTTTTTCCGTGTAAAGTGGCTGCAGCCGGCGATGAAAGGTACCTCGTGTGTGCGGCGGTTGCGGCTGCGGTCGTTTCATGCGCGAATTGGTTCCTCCTCTGTGTTCTGCAACGAGTGGTTGTGTTTGTCTGTGTAGTTCTATGCGTTTCTTGAATCTCTGGTTGTGGATCGCATTGGAATGGCTGCGTCAAGGTTGCATGGGCTATCTTGTGGGGAGGAAGCCGGAGCACGAAACCTTGTGTTTTTCCGTATAAAGTGGCTGCAGCCGACGATGAAAGGTACCTCGTCTGTGCGACGGGTGCGGCTGGGGTCGTTTCATGCGCGAATTGGTTCCGCCTATGTGTTTTGCAACGAGTGGTTGTGTCTGTGCTGCGTAGTTCTATGCGTTTCTTGAATCTTTGGTTGCAGATCGCATTGGAATGGCTGCGTCAAGGTTGCATGGGCTATCTTGTGGGGAGGAAGCCGGAGCACGAAACCTTGTGTTTTTCCGTATAAAGTGGCTGCAGCCGACGATGAAAGGTACCTCGTCTGTGCGACGGGTGCGGCTGGGGTCGTTTCATGCGCGAATTGGTTCCTCCTATGTGTTTTGCAACGAGTGGTTGTGTCTGTGCGTGTAGTTCTATGCGGTTCTTGAATCTTTGGTTGCAGATTGCATTGGAATGGCTGCGTCAAGGTTGCATGGGCTATCTTGTGGGGAGGAAGCCGGAGCACGAAACCTTGTGTTTTTCCGTATAAAGTGGCTGCAGCCGACGATGAAAGGTACCTCGTCTGTGCGACGGGTGCGGCTGGGGTCGCTTCATGCGCGAATTGGTTCCTCCTATGTGTTTTGCAACGAGTGGTTGTGTCTGTGCGTGTAGTTCTATGCGGTTCTTGAATCTTTGGTTGCAGATTGCATTGGAATGGCTGCGTCAAGGTTGCATGGGCTATCTTGTGGGGAGGAAGCCGGAGCACGAAACCTTGTGTTTTTCCGTATAAAGTGGCTGCAGCCGACGATGAAAGGTACCTCGTCTGTGCGGCGGGTGCGGCTGGGGTCGTTTCATGCGCGAATTGGTTCCTCCTATGTGTTTTGCAACGAGTGGTTGTGTCTGTCTGCGTAGTTCTATGCGTTTCTTGAATCTCTGGTTGTGGATCGCATTGGAATGGCTGCATGAATGTTGCATGGGCTATCTTGTGGGGAGGAAGCCGGAGCACGAAACCTTGTGTTTTTCCGTATAAAGTGGCTGCAGCCGACGATGAAAGGTACCTCGTCTGTGCGACGGGTGCGGCTGGGGTCGTTTCATGCGCGAATTGGTTCCTCCTATGTGTTTTGCAACGAGTGGTTGTGTCTGTGCGTGTAGTTCTATGCGGTTCTTGAATCTTTGGTTGCAGATTGCATTGGAATGGCTGCATCAAGGTTGCATGGGCTATCTTGTGGGGAGGAAGCCGGAGCACGAAACCTTGTGTTTTTCCGTATAAAGTGGCTGCAGCCGACGATGAAAGGTACCTCGTCTGTGCGACGGGTGCGGCTGGGGTCGCTTCATGCGCGAATTGGTTCCTCCTATGTGTTTTGCAACGAGTGGTTGTGTCTGTGCGTGTAGTTCTATGCGGTTCTTGAATCTTTGGTTGCAGATTGCATTGGAATGGCTGCGTCAAGGTTGCATGGGCTATCTTGTGGGGAGGAAGCCGGAGCACGAAACCTTGTGTTTTTCCGTATAAAGTGGCTGCAGGCGACGATGAAAGGTACCTCGTGTGTGCGGCGGGTGCGGCTGGGGTCGTTTCATGCGCGAATTGGTTCCTCCTATGTGTTTTGCAACGAGTGGTTGTGTCTGTCTGCGTAGTTCTATGCGTTTCTTGAATCTCTGGTTGTGGATCGCATTGGAATGGCTGCATGAATGTTGCATGGGCTATCTTGTGGGGAGGAAGCCGGAGCACGAAACCTTGTGTTTTTCCGTATAAAGTGGCTGCAGCCGACGATGAAAGGTACCTCGTCTGTGCGACGGGTGCGGCTGGGGTCGTTTCATGCGCGAATTGGTTCCTCCTATGTGTTTTGCAACGAGTGGTTGTGTCTGTGCGTGTAGTTCTATGCGGTTCTTGAATCTTTGGTTGCAGATTGCATTGGAATGGCTGCATGAATGTTGCATGGGCTATCTTGTGGGGAGGAAGCCGGAGCACGAAACCTTGTGTTTTTCCGTATAAAGTGGCTGCAGCCGACGATGAAAGGTACCTCGTGTGTGCGTCGGGTGCGGCTGGGGTCGTTTCATGCGCGAATTGGTTCCCCTATGTGTTTTGCAACGAGTGGTTGTGTCTGTCTGCGTAGTTCTATGCGTTTCTTGAATCTCTGGTTGTGGGATCGCATTGGAATGGCTGCATGAATGTTGCATGGGCTATCTTGTGGGGAGGAAGCCGGAGCACGAAACCGTGTGTTTTTCCGTATAAAGTGGCTGCAGGCGACGATGAAAGGTACCTCGTGTGTGCGGCGGGTGCGGCTGGGGTCGTTTCATGCGCGAATTGGTTCCTCCTGTGTTTTGCAACGAGTGGTTGTGTCTGTCTGCGTAGTTCTATGCGTTTCTTGAATCTCTGGTTGTGGATCGCATTGGAATGGCTGCATGAATGTTGCATGGGCTATCTTGTGGGGAGGAAGCCGGAGCACGAAACCTTGTGTTTTTCCGTATAAAGTGGCTGCAGCCGACGATGAAAGGTACCTCGTCTGTGCGACGGGTGCGGCTGGGGTCGTTTCATGCGCGAATTGGTTCCTCCTATGTGTTTTGCAACGAGTGGTTGTGTCTGTGCGTGTAGTTCTATGCGGTTCTTGAATCTTTGGTTGCAGATTGCATTGGAATGGCTGCGTCAAGGTTGCATGGGCTATCTTGTGGGGAGGAAGCCGGAGCACGAAACCTTGTGTTTTTCCGTGTAAAGTGGCTGCAGGCGACGATGAAAGGTACCTCGTGTGTGCGGCGGGTGCGGCTGGGGTCGTTTCATGCGCGAATTGGTTCCTCCTATGTGTTTTGCAACGAGTGGTTGTGTCTGTCTGCGTAGTTCTATGCGTTTCTTGAATCTCTGGTTGTGGATCGCATTGGAATGGCTGCATGAATGTTGCATGGGCTATCTTGTGGGGAGGAAGCCGGAGCACGAAACCGTGCGTTTTTCCGTATAAAGTGGCTGCAGCCGACGATGAAAGGTACCTCGTGTGTGCGACGGGTGCGGCTGGGGTCGTTTCATGCGCGAATTGGTTCCTCCTATGTGTTTTGCAACGAGTGGTTGTGTCTGTCTGCGTAGTTCTATGCGTTTCTTGAATCTCTGGTTGTGGATCGCATTGGAATGGCTGCATGCGTAATACTATTGTCTTTTGCAGCTGCAGATTGTAAACCGTATTGAAGTGGCTGCATCCAGGCTGCGACAGTGATTTGTCAGAAGATTGTCGCAATTTTGGCGCTAGTAATTTTCCTTTTAAAATTATTTTTAAAAAGTGCTTCAAAAGAGCTGCAATTTCCGACGCCATTGCACGTAGTTTTTTTGTGTTTTGCAACTCAGTCTCTGCAGATCGCATTGTAGTGGCTGCGTCAAGGTTGCTTGGTGCAGCGGCTGCATGCGTAATATTTTTGTCTTTTGCAGCTGAAGATCGTAAATCGTATTGGAATGGCTGCATCAAGGCTGCGACAGTGATTTGTCAGAAGATTTTCTCAATTTTGGCGCTAATAATTTTCCTTTTAAAAATCATTTTAAGAAGTGCTTCAAAATCGTCTTTTTGTCGCTTTGGCGTCGAGATCCGGTTTTGGAGCTGCAATTTCCGACGCCATTGCACGTAGTTCTATTGTGTTTTGCAACTCAGTCTCTACAGATCGCATTGTAGTGGCTGCGTCAAGGTTGCTTGGCGCAGCGGCTGCATGCGTAATACTATTGTCTTTTGCAGCTGAAGATCGTAAATCGTATTGGAATGGCTGCATCAAGGCTGCGAAAGTGATTTGTCAGCAGATTTTCTCAATTTTGGCGCTAATAATTTTCCTTTTAAAAATCATTTTAAGAAGTGCTTCAAAATCGTCTTTTTGTCGCTTTGGCGTCGAGATCCGGTTTTGGAGCTGCAATTTCCGACGCCATTGCACGTAGTTCTATTGTGTTTTGCAACTCAGTCTCTGCAGATCGCATTGTAGTGGCTGCGTCAAGGTTGCTTGGCGCAGCGGCTGCATGCGTAATACTATTGTCTTTTGCAGCTGAAGATCGTAAATCGTATTGGAATGGCTGCATCAAGGCTGCGAAAGTGATTTGTCAGCAGATTTTCTCAATTTTGGCGTTAATAATTTTCCTTTTAAAAATCATTTTAAGAAGTGCTTCAAAATCGTCTTTTTGTCGCTTTGGCGTCGAGATCCAGTTTTGGAGCTGCAATTCCTGTTGTGATTATGTACAAGAAAGCTTCTCTGTGCAAAAACTTTTTCTGTAAAAGCTTGCTGTGTGTAAAAGCTTGCTGTGTAAAGCTTCTCTGTGTAAAAGCTTATTGTGTGTGTGTGTAAAAGCTTCTCTGTTTAAAAAGCTTGCTGTGTGTGTAAACACTTGCCATGTGTAAAAGCACTGTGTGTAAGTGTTCTGTGTGTAAACGCTTGCTGTGTGTGAAAGCTTCTCTGTGAAGAAGCTTGTTGTGTGTAAAAGCTTCTGTGTGTACAAGCTTCTCTGCGAAAGAACTTGATGTGTGTAGAAGCTTTGTAGTACAAAGTAGTACTGGGAAGTATTTTGTGCAAGCTTTGTAGTACAAAGTAGTACTGGAACGTGTTTTGTGCAAGCTTTGTAGTACACAGTAGTACTGGGAAGTGCTTTGTGCAAGCTCTGTAGTACAAAGTAGTACTGGAACGTGTTTTGTGCAAGCTTTGTAATACAAAGTAGTACCGGGAAGTAGTTTGTGCAAGCTTTGTAGTACACAGTAGTACTGGGAAGTGCTTTGTGCAAGCTTTGTAGTACAAAGTAGTACTGGGAAGTGCTTTGTGCAAGCTTTGTAGTACAAAGTAGTACTGGGAAGTGCTTTGTGCAAGCTTTGTAGTACAAAGTAGTACTGGGAAGTGTTTTGTGCAAGCTTTGTAGTACAAAGTAGTACTGGAACGTGTTTTGTGCAAGCTTTGTAGTACAAAGTAGTACTGGGAAGTAGTTTGTGCAAGCTTTGTAGTACACAGTAGTACTGGGGAGTGCTTTGTGCAAGCTTTGTAGTACAAAGTAGTATTGGGAAGTGTTTTGTGCAAGCTTTGTAGTACAAAGTAGTACTGGGAAGTGGTTTTTGCAAGCTTTTGTAGTAGACTGTCTGTAGACATCAGTACTGGAAAGTACTTGACATAAAAATAGCCAAGAAGAACTTAGCTGACATATGGGAAGACATGGAATGAGATGAGAAGAGCTCAGATGAGATGAGTTGAGATGAAGTGCAAGTGTGAAGTGTGGAGTGTGGGGTGTGAAGAGTGCAATGTGAAGTGTGAGGAAAGTGTTTGCATTGTACCGGGGTCGCGCGCAGGTCATGTTCTTGGACAGCAACACTGCAACAGCTTCGATGAGATGAAGTGTGGAGTGTGAAGAGTGCAGTGTGAAGTGTGGGGCGTGAAGAGTGCAGTGTGAAGTGTGGAGTGTGAAGAAAGCAATGAGAAGTGAGAAGTGTGAAGTGTGGACTGTGAAGTGTGACGTGTGAAGTGTGGAGTGTGAAGTGTGGATTGGGAAGAGTGCAGTGTGAAGTGAGAAGTGTGAAGTGTGCAGTGTGGAGTGTGAAGAGTGCAGTGAGAAGTGTGAAGGGCGAAGTGGAGCTTCAAATGTGACATGTGAAACAAGACACCACTTTCGCAGAGTGCACGCACGCACGGGCTTGGCTGGCGCACGGCGCATGCAAGTTCTATAGATGAGAAAAGTCTTAATATATCTTTAAGGCAACTTCCGCCCCGCCTCGTGCGGGTACTACTGGTATACATACTTGTGACATCTTTTGACAGATACAACATTTGACAACAAATCTTTATTTATGCCAGGTGTCATAGTGCAAGTGCCTCCTCTGTCAGTTTCTGCAGCACGTCCAGTCACTGCACCTGAATCTTGGACTTCAAGGTGTCCACAACCGCGGAAAATGCGCGCCTCCTTGGAACACTGGTCAGATTGAAAACCAGTAGAGTCAGTAGAGTACTTCAAACCGCAGTCCCGAGCAATGCTTGAGTGAAGGACTGGCGGCCGTGCAGCCGGAATGCCTGAAGGGACAGAGAATCAAAAACAGGAAAAATGAAAGAGAGAAACCATGAGAAACCAACCATTGCAGCTTCCAAGATCTTCCTTGGCTCCCAGATATGTTTTGGTAGCGGAACACATTGTGTGTTGCTTGGAGGAACATGATTTTGCCACCTCCTCAATTGACTTCGTTTATAGATGTTTCTTGATAAACTCCGTTTGCAACTGAAACACTACAGAAGCAGGCCAAGTTGTGTTCATCTTGACTCCTCTCATGTCAATGGATCGCTCTGCCAAGCCTGATGCATGGTTAGTCTAGGAAACGAGTCGGAAACGAGGAAGACTCTTCAAGACTTGGACCAAATGGCTCAAACGGCCGAAATGAAGGGGTTCTTTTGGAGACGAAGCCCAAAGTCTTGGTTGACTCTTTGCCAGAATTTTGACATTTCTCTTGAGAAATTAAAAATGTCATAAAAGGTTCTGTTTCCTATTGTTATTATTGCATAGTGTTGCTCTGTTTCCCCAAACCATCATCTTTGGACTCAGGAAATCGGTTCAGTTTGACCGTCTATGTCTCCAAGCACTCTGATACCACCACTCCTCGTGTTTGTTGAGCATTTGCATAATAATTACGTGATATTAGGCGTATGTGTGTGTGTGCGCAGGTCTTTCCGAATGAGTGCAAAGGTTTTGACCGAATGAGAGTTTCCAAGCCAATTCGGCCACGTCAAATGCTGCTCACTTGGGCACTTCACGTTTTGTGAAGACCGGGCAGCGCCAGGCAGCAACAAGAATCATTGTGAAGCTTTCTCTGGTACTTCCGTTCGCACGTGGGTTATCGTGGGGGGTTTATCGTGGGGGGGTTTGGATGTCTTGGCACGTGTCAGCTTCTTGTTGGCAAATGATGGTTCATTCAAAAAGGGCAACTTTGAATCACGATTTGAGATGCACGCCCAAGGCAAAATCTGTATAATGTACTTCCAAATATTGCCATGATGTCTTGTCAGAGTAGCAGGAACAAACAAATAACAATCACCTCTGGAAACACGAAAAGACTCACTGTGGGTTCTCAATTGCAGCAACCTCGTCAACCACGTCAGCGCATGGACACAGAACGCATTTCTGTGCTTTAGATCATTCTCTGACTCTCCAAGCCTCAGGAATCCTAAGTATTCATTACTTGACTGATCTTCATTGCTTGAAACCCTGAGGATGAGATTCCGACAGTGCACTTGTCGGCCTCGGGCCGCTTTTCACGCCAGCTCGACGAGAGACCTGATCTGCAACAGGCGAAGTGTTTTGTAGCATTCAAACACTCCAGTTCAGAAAACATTGGAACTAAAGTCTGTAGAAGCATGTCTAATCTCAATGGAGCAGCCCCTGGTTAGACCTGTTTCTTTGGACAGCTGAAAATCATTGCCTCGTTGAATTCGGTGCAAAGTCCCATCAAATCAGGTCCATGAAATCTCACCCCAGATAAATTAACAGTGGCATGACCAGAATTATTGACGGATATAGACCGATAATGACTGATACACGTATGCCTTTTTCTTCTTACAGCTGCAAATTGCAAGTCTAAGCTCTTGGCTTTTGCGCTCCAGACCCTCAGAGAGGTCGAGCATTTGCTGCTTGTGCGCCTCACATGAAATTTGGCTGCTAAACAACTGCTTACAGTTGACTTGAATCCCATGACTGCCGGGGGAAGATCCAGAGCTTTGCATAGCTTTGCATTATGATCAGGACGCTCATGGGAAACTGAAAATCCAGCGTAATTAGAGTATCCTATCTGGATCCATCTGTGCTCTGACCTTTCCACTCCACATCTTTGTGATTTCTTTGATATTGTTGTGGCAAAAAGAGGTCATGGCCCAGCATTCACCATGCTCCCCCAACCTCGAAGCTGGCACGAAAAAAGCCGAAATGCACCTCTTGCTCTTGGAGCCTGCGCTTTGCAAGGTCAGAGAAGACCCGGTTTTCCGAGCACAGCTTGGAACATTGGCGTCATCTGGAAACAGTCGCTATGTAGTTCTGGCCTGGGAAAGTACAGCTGGCACTGTGCCCACAGCTGGTCCAATCTTTTCGAGACCTCCAATGGTCCAAGCCCAATGTGAACAGTGCTGTGAAAACGAGCTGTAGTTCCTTACACAACTGATATCACTGATATCATTCCACTAACAAATCTGCAAAAATTATCATGGTCTCAGTCTGTCTCAGTACCTCCAAATGTTTAATTTCGGTCGCGTGGACAGGCCTCTGGAAGTTGTTGTGCCAGGTGCCTGAGCCTCAAATGCACCACTGATTCAAGAGAAACAAGCTTGATCTGAATGAGATACAATTCTCTGAGGTCAAGGCATCTATCACTCAAATTTATGTGTTGTGGAACTTGTTGAATCCAGTTGAAAGATTCCAGACATCTGCGCTATCTGCAACATCTGCCCCATCTGCACTCATGTAGGTGTTTTGAAGAATCTAGGCATCGTGACGCAACCTGCTGCTCGTCTTCAGCATCCTGTCTGCCAAGTCAAAGAGTCTACCCATGGATGTATTGGACATACGCCGCACCAAGGCCCAACCTGCATAACATGGAGCTTTTGGGCCACCTCCGTTAGGCTGCCTGAAACCAACAAGTGGAAAAAGTGACAAAAAGTGACACTCTGTACATGCCTTTTCCTTTTCGATCCTTTTCGCAGCAGTCTCGGGACACTCTAGATCACTCTAGTACTTCGTACTTCGTCAGGCTTGGTCCCTGTGGAAAAAAAAACATCAAGAAGTCTTCAAGATTCTTTGCAAAAGAATCCCGTGTGCATCTCTCCTGCCACAGAAAAGATTCAGCTGACTTGGAATACCAGGTGGCTTGCAGAAGCTACACTATCAATGTCGATGGGCATGGTCACAGAAAGCATCAGAAAGAGCATCTATTCCCAATGGGGCTCCGAACGCTCCAGACGTGTGTCCAACGCCTGCAGGGCCAACTCCTTAGACATTCACTAAACAGAGAGTTCAGCGACGATGCGAGCAATTTTGACCCCTTCAAATTATCAGATTTTCTGCAAATGTAATTTGTATCCTGTATATTCCTGTATCACATATTATCATATATCCTCCTTATCCTGACACACTGCGAAGATTAAAAGATTTAAAAGCGAGAATATCAGTGAGAGAGACACTGCAGCAAACTGTAAGATGGGTCCAATTAGGTCCATCACCAAATGCTCCAAAGAGCGCACATGATGCTTCTCCTCATGCCATGGTGAGTGCTGATGTTGCGTTGCGTCATTGCGTGGTTGAGTTGTGTCGACCGGAGCTCCATGGCTTACGAATGGTTTCCAGCCTGTTGCTGATCCATGAGCCGCAGAGTAGCCACACGACCTTTGTGGTCCACTTGCGACTGTACCTGCAGCGAAAGGTTTGACTCAACCATCCATAGACTCTGGTGTGGCATGGTGTGGCCCAGTCCAGATGACAAAATGTATCAACATGTCATAATCAAAGTCTTGATGACTTTGAAGAATCTCACGCAAAGTAATATACATGTGAGATTCTGGAGAAATGTCAAACACAGATTGATTAATGGGCCACAAATGAGACACCGCTTGAAAGACGGATGCACTTCTTGTCACCTGAAGCCTTCTACACCATTCTACACCTGAAGCCTTTGTTGATCTTTGTTGTCCCACCTGTGCAGCAAGTCCATAGAGATTGCCCTCCAGTTCTTCCACCTGTGCCAAGCTCAGAATGGCATGGTATAAGTCTCTGCATGTACAGACTAGGTCTAGGGAATTTGGTCTAGGGGTCTAGGTTGGGTCTACACTGTCTACACCTTGCAACAGCCAATTGGGATCCATTGGGCAAGCTGCTTGGCAAGCTTTTGCCGGCCTTATCTCGCAGTTCTTCGTGGATCACCTGAGCACAGTGAAGCGATCGAAACGACAAAAAATACGCTGCTACTGGCTGCTATCACTTCAAAGTTTTTTTAGATCTTTTAAGGAGCTCGATTCTAGCAGCAATTGAGCATGATTGAATGATATTGAATGATTGAGCCACAAAGCACGAATGATTCTAAGCTGAGGAGAACACTGACGATGGATCGCTGGATTTCCCTGGTCACAGGCATTGCAGATACATTGGACCAATGTTTGAATTGTTCAATGCATCAACCAAGAATCACTACACGTATAATCATGATGGTCCTCGTCGAAGCCTCATTCTCTTTCAAACCATCCCGTGAGATCTCCGCTATGGCAAAAACCCAAGAATATATGCAAAACCTCCTCGCTATCCAATGAGTATTTATTCTCAAAGAAGGATCTTCCAAACTTTTGTCACGCAAGGACCTCTGACAGTCCCCAGAAGGACTAAGAATTCATAATTAGACAGAGCATTGTGGTGCATCCAGAAAGCTTCCCGTGGCCTTCAGCTAGGGCCTGAAGCAAGAAGAAACTTGCGAAAGCAAAGCAAACCAAATAGTGAAAGCATGGAATATATCGATACTGGTTTTGAAGAGGGTGCGTCGGGTGCCTAATGTCCCGCAGATAAAGTAATGAATACATAAAATACTCTAAGGAGTTCAATGAAGCAATGTTCGTCAAAGTCCAACAGCAAGAATATCCAAGAAACGAGAACACTTTCTGGACAAGGGCGAAAGATCCCCAGATGTGGAATTCATGTTTCCACAGAAAGCATCAGCCGCAGAACTTGAAAGTCAATCCGAAGTTACTATTGAACGTTACTAAACAAACTGCAATTCTCTGCTAGCATTGTCAGCATTTGGTGAGCGGTGCACTGTTCTTTGAGTAGGAACTCTGCGACCCAGGGGGAAATTCTGTGAAAGGGAAAAGTTTGGAAAAGATCGTGTCCCGAGACCATTCTGCCCCGTGCACTAGAGCTCGTCAAAAGCTTACTCGGATCATGCAAGGCGAGGCAAAGTCGGTCAAGGAAAGCCACGAAAAAATGCGACAAGCAGAGGCCCCAATGATTTCAAAGATTATAGTATGAGTATAGATGTGCAAAGGGGCAAGAGGGGAGAAATGGAGCAAAGCTTTAAACAAAAGAGACAGAAGCCAGTTGCACGGACCAAAACAAGTAGCTGGGATCAACAGCACGGGATTTGAGCTCATTTGAAAACCACGGCCAAGATGTATTGTATGTTGGACATGAAAGACATGTCAATGTTACATCTGCGAAACTACATGTGGAAGAAACGCGTAGAAGGATGCACAGCATTCATTCTATGCATCCCTTGTGTGAAGGAATCAACAAAATCTCCCTTAAACAGCTTCAGATGATGTTTGAATTGTGCTTGACTTTCTCTCCCATTGCCATCCTGATACAACACGCGGCACCTGCACAGAGGCTCCAGTGTCACTCACGCGATCCGCCAGAGCATCCACAATAGTGAGGATCTGCTCCAAGCGCTGATCCTCAAGAAGCCCAAGATGGAGATGCAGAATCATACCATCGCTGCATTGATGTGTCGTTGCAAGCTGTACATGGAGACTGTATATGATACATCCGGATACATCGTGGCACCATCAATCAAACCCATGTCCTGCTCCTCAAGGCGACGTTCAGAGAGGTCCGGCCGCCTAGGTCGAAACAGAAAGGCATCGTAAGACCTCCTATATACTTCTCCTTGCCCTTCCTTGCCATTCCTTGTCATCCTTTGCCTGCCACGAAAGCTGGCGACACAAGTCTGGGCAACCACACCCTACGTCGTCATTCAAAGAGGAGCTGGAGAAGCAGCGCTCAAACTCCTCCGCTACCTCCAAACCATCCTGCACACAGTCAGGTGTTCCGTGTGTCCGTCCTCTGAAAGAATCACTGGCAGCCAAAGTGCAACTAATGAAGCTGATGAAGCAAGAATTCCCACTCTGTCAGCTGGTTTGGATACAAAACTATCTATTCGTTAATCTGTTTGTTATATGTGTATATTGTATGTACATAATATGTGATGCTGCCGCCTTGCGTCTATTGCGACCTTTCCCTTTCAGCTCTGCCTGTCTCTCTTGGACTGATAGTGCCATCCGAAGTGCTCGCTGCGCTCCGACAGCCAACTTTCTGTGAGCTTGCTCCAGGGATGACAGCCTTGGCAATGGAGATACAAGGCAGCTGAGTAAATTCCAAGTAAATTCCAAACACAAAACTTGTCCTTGCAGATTCCCTCTCCGATCCAGATTTTGTTTTCATCCCTCTGTGCATCAGCCAAATGTACTAACAACTCTGTGGAAGCCACCTTGTCTCCAAACGGGTAGTGTCACCTGCCGGACACTTGAAAAAATGGCTGAATCCACTATGTATGCCTGGGCTCGACATGGATCGCATCAAAATTTCAGAAACAAAGGCTCCTTAACTCCTCAGCCCTTGTGAAACAAAACAAACGACTGATGCTAAGTGCCGTTGACGTGTCTTTCATTCGGCATTTGTAGGAAACACAAAACGGTGTCACGAAGCCCAACAAAAGGTCCAATAAGCAAAGCATGCCTGAGCGAAAGCCATTGGCAAGGTGCACCTGCCGCAAGTTGCAACACCTCTTGAAGCAAATACATATGGTAAGCTGCCAAACATCAGGAAGTTCCCACTTCGTTGCCTCATGGAGGGTTAAATCCATTATGGTATGTAGCCAGAACCAATCGATTCTCAATGTAGACATGCAGAGCCAAGAAAAGAGCTTGAAATCAATTCCCAAGGAAAGGAAGTGTCAGCATGCCTACCTTTTTGATTGGTTACTTGCCTGGTTTCCCCCACAGAATTGTCACAATGCAGTTCCAGTGGAAAGAGACCCAAAGCATGCAAGCAGGCCTCCATCCGTTCGCCCAGTTCCTCCATGTTTTGCTGGCAAATGATCCAGTTTTACTCTTCTTTGCTTGGCTTCACAAGAAAGGCACAACGATATTGGCTTCAAAAATTCTGCCGGAGATATCAAAATGTTTTTCCAAACTTGCCAATGGCTCTCTACCCAATAGCCAATAGCCCTGCTCTGAGTTAGCCCAGCTCTCCTCGATTCGTCTGGACACAGAAACAAGCTCTTCCTGCAGCCTCACCACATTCAGTGCAGGCTCCAACTGAATGAAAAAGTTGAAACAACCGTGAAACTGGTTGAAACTGGTTGAAACTGGTTGAAACAACATCATTAAAATTGCAGCCCTGGGCCTGCTTGAAGTTCTCCTGCTCTCACTGTCCGCATCGATTCCCAAGACCTGGAAATGCCATGGCTGGCTGCAAAGTGTCGGTCTATGCTTTGCTTCTCTGGACGTTGTTTCTTCCAAGATGACATGATGTGACACTTCTTGGAGTCTTGCTCACAAGACTTGGATTGGATACTTGCATGATGTTGAGGCAACAAGATCGTCTCTAATACATTGCTCGTATAATACAGAGTTCTGCCATGAACCTGGATATGAAATTATTGCTGGGACATGATGGCCGGGACGTAAATAGCATGGGGCAGGCATCCATGACAACAGTGGGAATAGGTGCAGTCCTCCATACACTTCTTCCACTCTCCCTCCTTTCCAGGGTTTCATGCAGCTCAACTTTGATAAAATGTGTATGAACTGTTATGAACTGTTAGTAGAACAAATAGGTCAGGTTTTTCCCGTGTGTCTGCTGGTCTCCTCTGCGACTTCTTTGGCCGTTTTCAAGGCACGGTGGGCACCCAGTGCTACCGCGCGATGGCCACACTCTGTGGCCTTACTACAATCAAACACGCGAAACGAATCCTTGCCTCTTCAACAAAAGGTTCAAATTACAATAGTTTTCCACATGTTTAAGTGATTTCAACAGGTTTTGGTCTTGCAGAATCACAAAAATAATTACAACACAACCAACAAACGATTTTTTTCAACAACATGACTGTCTTTCGTGTCCAACTGCTGAAGTTCACTGGTTCTTTGGATTTTGGAACATGAACTCACTGTCGGTAATGCATCGGTCACCTACGGTTGCCACATTTCAAAATATTTATATAATGGGAATATGTGGAAAACTAGAAAATTTCAACAGGATTGTCCTGGTACTGCATCCGGGACTCTGGGGCCCGGACAAAACTTTGTGCAAAGTGTTGCTCCTCACGATTTTGATTTTTTCCAGCCGCTGGAAAATCATTGAACCTCCGTCCCCTTCTAAAGACATTGCAAGGCCTTTCAACAACTGACAAATGTTGAAATTGTGATGGAATGTCAAATGACAAAATATGAATAGGCTAACATTTCATGCAACACTCGCTTAAGATCTAAATGCGGACCGTCCAGGTCTCCCCGTTTTGCAAACTCTCCTGCAAAGCTTGCACCTGCGCATCCAACTCCACTAGGCGACGGTCAAGCAGGACCTTTTGCAGAATTTGTGAATGCAAGGTCCACATTTTTCTATGACCTCGTTTGTTTCCTGAGGATCTGAGGATATTTGACATAGAAAATTAAAAGTTGTTGTCAGTACAACGGTTTTTTTTGAAAATTTACAATTTTGGTTCTCTGTCTTGCGAGTGTTAAGGTTTTGGTTTTAAACCATGACCTCAGGTTTTGTTCGTCCCAAAAAATGCAATATCTTAGTCCAACACAGCTCTTGAACCATCTTTTGAGTTTTTGAAGCGGTGATACATCCGATGAAATTCAAACCAATCACACGAAATTGGTCCAATCCTGGCGGCTTTCGACTCCGCTCAACCTGACCATCACATCGGAAACACGGCATGTGTGCAGGAACAGTGTTGCTGAATTCAAGGCAAGTGTTTCGTTTAGCGTTGTCCAAGCTTGAAAAGTGCCAATTGTCCAAACGGGCCACTTTTGAATTGACATCTGGTGGTGTTTCTACACGTGTCAGTTTCAACCACCATTCTACCATTTGTTCCATGTCGCCACCATCTCTTGCTCTCAAGCCTTCGGAGCTCCACAAAACCATCGTCCCCATCCATGTGGGGCAAAAGCAAGTGGAGCGTGGCGCACAACCACAAAACTGGTGGAGAATTACCAATCGCCAAATAAAGTGTGCCTGCACATCTCAGAGGAAAATTAGCCCGGTGATCTTAGTCATCCACTGGTAATGTAGACTAAAACCCTCGTCCAAACAAACCGACTGCGTAAATTGAAAGTTTGAACCAATCACTGCACAGTTTAGGTGTCACTTGCACATGCAAGATGCAGACGTCCATAATCCTCCAAGCACAAAATCATACCTCAGTTACCTCCGCGTGTGCACCAAGAAAACTCCGACACACAAATTTTAGGGCTGGAAAATCCATTGACTTTGCAAGAATGTCCACTCGGATCCCCCTGATGAGTCCAATTCAAGCCTTTTCGCGCAAATCCAGCCATCATGTGACACTCCCAACATGTGATTTTCATTTGCCCGCGGAAGTAATTTGGCAATAATGAAGACAACGTGGGGCTAAATAAATATTTGGGTACCCGAAAAGCTAAGTATTTGGATATGGCCCGGAAGGCTGCAATAAATTCCGGAACAAAATCAGGCTCTCGCTGCTCACTCAAGAACTGGCAGCCGGACAGGGCTTACCCCCCGAAGAGTTTTGGAGTCATGTTTGTTGACATGTCTGCTGATAGGGGACAGGTAGGTAGCTAAATAGATACATGGATGCATGCACAAACGGATGGATAGGCACATGCGCGGTGGATGGATGCATCGTCTTTCTCCGTTCTGGGAGTCGGTCGCTTCCATGTTGGAGACTCCGGCAACACCTGCAATCTTTGCAACCAGTATCACGCCAGTTGCTTCAGTTTCATCATTTCTTCAAATATGTGTCTTTTTTGTTTTTGTTTTTTTTTCGCATTGCCCCAGAGTCATGTCTTGCTCGTCGTTCTTCATGAGTTGCAGCTTTGAAAGTATACATCTCAAAAAACCACTGGTAGACACACCAAAAGAATCGGAAGCATCTTGGCTCCTGTCTACCTGTCGGAAATGTGCTTACAGATTTGCAAAAATCTGCGAAAAAACTATGAAAAACCTCCAGAATCCAGGAAAAACAAAAGCATATTAACATAATTAACATATATTAACAACCATCGCCACAAGTCGGTACCTATCGCAAGTTCCACCTTTTGACAAACCAAGTCACAGGCCTTGACGGAGTTTTGCAAAGAGAATCAGAGCAGCGCATCAGGAAGGTCGCCACCATCCCTACATGTCCCAACCCTCTTACTTTGCACAGGCAAGAAACTTACATCGGTCTGGTTTGGCTTGGGTCCAATGGACAAGTGTGAAATGGTCTGTTGACAAGTTCTTTCTACGAGCCAAGAATGTTCCAAACAAAGCGCGAAAGTGTTGTTGCTCTCTTTGAGAAGAAAGGACACAGGCAAAAAAAAATCCTGCATTTGCAGTAGTCACTAATGGAACTGACAATTAATTGATATTAATTGTTTCCCGAATGAAGCAGCAAAAAAATTGTTTGTCAGCCGCTGAACCTGGCAAAGTTGTGGATTGGATATAATATGCATATTTAAGTCCTGGTGGCAGGAGCACCAGGGAAAATTTTAGGGGGGAATTCATCCCCGGCCCAAAGCAAGATGAGAGTTGAGATCAGACTGGGTCTTGATTCCAGGGATGAAGGTTGCCACAGTCGAACACGCAAATGCTACAAATGACTGCTTTCTATCATCCACCATCCAAAAACCCTGCACTAAAAGTACATGCGCCAGCAATAAATGCAAAACTATGATCATCAGTTATGTAAGTTATGTTGCCCAAACATGCCTAAACATCAAACGCATGTGAGACACACAACACTTTTTATCGCAGATTTGAAACGCTTCAGTAGATGATGAGGTTCATGTTAATCTCTTCTCGATATTCCTGGCAGGAAGCGTTTCAGGCAGGGCTTTCCAACAGCCAAAGGCTGTAAAATTGGAGACAAAGAAAGAAATCACGGGTCTACTATGTAGTGGAGTTGTATAGGATTTCAAATTACAAGTGGCCTGGTCGCCCGCAGGAGACAAATGAAGAAGTTGAAAGCGACTTCAAATTTCCGAACATCAAAAAGTTTCCCTTTTGTTGCTGGAACCGACAACCAGCTACTGTCAAGTTTGACCCCGCACTGTCCAACTGCGGTTTCTAGTGTCACCCCTCCCGAAAACTGCTCACACCCTGGCAACCTTGTGCAAATCGAGTAGGGCTCGGAACTTGGCAATCTCTGCATCGTACCCAGCAATCGCTGCATCGATCTCATCCTGGAGATGCTGCGTTCGTATGATGGGTTCTAAGAGGAAAGGTCACAGGGTATGGGCGAAGTAGCATTCTGTTCAAGAATAATTTGCCATTCAAAGTTGTGAAGACCCATTAAGTCTCATCGGGACTCATTGATGTTCATAGAGTTTCACTAAAGGTTGTCGCAACCAGAGTGGTTTGCAGCAGCTCCAATTTTATGTGGAGGCAACACCTACTGTTCAGTCAGTCACATTGAAAGAAACTGTTTTTGACTCAGAATGCTTTGCCCCTCTCCCTTATATAGCAAGAATCACAAACGTGTCACTGAGTGCCCACCACATCCTTTGTCGAGTAAATCGTTGGCACCAAGCGGGCGTTTTTCGCCTGCCATGTTCGCAGTGAACTATGTTTCAACAACGTGGAGAAAATCTCGGGAAAAAAAAAAAAACAGAAATCCGATGGAAAAAAATTGAAATCTGACGGAACTGAAGGGCCCCCAGTTTGAGCTGCATTTGTCCCTGCCTCCTTGGCAACTTGATATGGGCAATGCTGTGCCTGCCAATATTTCCCAAGGGTAGTCGAGGTGCCAATACATATAACTGGCGACACACACACATATATATATATGTATAATATATATATATATATGTATAATATATATATATGTATAATATATATATATGTATAATATATATATATGTATAATATATTATATATATATGTATAATATATATATATATGTATAATATATATATTATATATATATGTATAATATATATATATATTATATTATGGTTTTTGCCTACCTACCTACTAATGCAAGCAGTAGTCCCATCCCTCCTAAAGACATCCTTAGAAACCACGGTTTTGTAAGTTGTGTATAGCATCTGGTCATTTTCAGGGCCCAAACGGAGGGGTTCTTAGCATATATCTCCACGGCTTGATGGTAAAACCTGCATTTTTTGACGTTGAGACTTCAATTTATGGTCAATCATCGCCTTGTTTTTGATGGTTAAACCTTGGATTTGCTGAAGGACGCCCCTCATCTGAGCCATTCACTGGGCCATCTGCCACCGCCGCGGGTCTCGGAGACGTCTTGACAGTGGCGGCCTAGGCTCTAGTTCTCCCATGGGATTTATCAACCAACAAAGGGTGTATATACATATATATAATATGTATGTATGTATGTATGTATGTATGTATGTATGTATGTATGTATGTATGTATGTATGTATGTATGTATGTATGTATGTATGTATGTATGTATGTATGTATGTATGTATGTATGTATGTGTATGTATGTATGTATGTATGTATGTATGTATGTATGTATGTATGTATGTATGTATGTATCATGTATTATGTATGTATAATATATATATATATCACTGACATGTATGTAATAGTGATATTATATATATGTGATTCATATGATTATATAATAGTACAGACTATCATAGATACAGTATATTTTGTTACAATCATGATTTTTTGCTAATTGTCACTATTGTCACCATTCTTAACTTCTTAACAATAGCATGAGTTCATATCACTTCTACACCCAACCATGCAATCAACATGTGGATTTTACCAACCAAAAGCTGCTGGGTATCCACTGGTCCAGTGTAGCATTGCACGACACGTGGTCATCTCGCTCTCTCTCTCTCTCTCTCTGATGCCACCAGACTTCTCGATGTCTTGGACAGCCAAAACCATCTGCAGTTCTTGCACTCGCTTGAGAATCCCTTCACGTCAACTTGGCTGCTGTTGCCCCATACTTATGGCACAACCAAAATACCAAACAAGTCATAACATGGAGTCAAAACTGCATGTCAAAAGCCTCCGTGGAGGTCAATCATGTTGAGCCTAAGTCTGGGCTCGAAGTATATGACAGTATATATGGTATACTTTCCTTGCTATCACAAGATGTTCGGCACAGAAGTCCAGCGGCGCGGAACAGGGGTACCAGTGGCAGTGCCAAACAAACCCGACCAATTTGAGAAATTTTCTGCATCCCAAATGACCCAAATCTGGTTGGATATATCGGAAAACGCATCCCCTTCTTGTTCATTGACATCCATATTGATCCATATTTTAACCAATGCCCCGGACTAGGCCATGGATTTGCTATCTATCTGTATGTCGATGGCTCTATCCATTTATTGTTTGATGGGTTTATCGACCTCGGAAAAGGGAATTTCCAGGCTTCCAACGGATCAGTTTCTGGATTGCCATGCCTGTAGCCCCAACAAACTAAATACGGCGATCCTACAAAACTAGTTGCAATTCTCACATGGTCTATCTTTTCTAGAACAGGCCGCTTTTTTGGAGTGTGTTTGACTCAGTATTCACCTTTTTATCTGATTCACCTTAATTGCATGGACTATCCATTACTTTTTTGTGGGGTCCAACCCCAACCACTGAATCGGGGCGCCTTTGCCAAATGTTGCCTGGCAAATGGAATCTGGAACCAGGGTATCTTGACCCTCAACACATTTTCAGGGTAAGTCTGCAGATGGTACCCATTTAATTAGACTGGCATGCAATTTGGTTTTCACATCTCGGTTACATGTCTGAATCAATGCAAGTGCAATGCATTGGCACGTGGATCATTTAGGCATATCTGGGTATCAACCCTAAGATTTGTCGGAACATGTGAGCAAGCATCCTCAGCAAAAACAACGTGAGCAGGGTCCTTCCTACTATATAAAACTGCCACTTAGGGCTATACCGCATTTTCAGACCCACATGAAGACAGATAGTAACGACTACACAGCCATGTCCACCTTTTTCGAACATGCAAAAACACATAGAACTAATTGTTATTTTGGGGAGTCGGATCGTCCTCGAGTGGTTCCGGACCCACATCATTAACATATTGCTTGAAGTACAACCCAACGGTCAGCTGCTGTGGGTTCAAGTGGTTCTCTTGAGTACCAACAAAAAAAGCCCTCTCTACTACTACAATGATGAACCAATGATGATGCAATGATGATGATGATGATGATGATGATGATGATGATGATGATGATGTTTTACAATGATGATGTTTTACAATGATGATGTTTTACAATGATGATGTTTTACAATGATGATGATGATGTTTTACAATGATGATGTTTTACAATGATGATGTTTTACAATGATGATGTTTTACAATGATGATGTTTTACAATGATGATGTTTTACAATGATGATGTTTTACAATGATTATGTTTTACAATGATGATGTTTTACAATGATGATGTTTTACAATGATGATGTTTTACAATGATGATGTTTTACAATGATGATGTTTTACAATGATGATGTTTTACAATGATGATGTTTTACAATGATGATGTTTTACAATGATGATGTTTTATAATTATGATGTTTTACAATGATGATGTTTTACAATGATGATGTTTTACAATGATGATGTTTTACAATGATGATGTTTTACAATGATGATGTTTTACAATGATGATGTTTTACAATGATGATGTTTTACAATGATGATGTTTTACAATGATGATGTTTTACAATGATGATGTTTTACAATGATGATGTTTTACAATGATGATGTTTTACAATGATGATGTTTTACAATGATGATGTTTTACAATGATTATGTTTTACAATGATGATGTTTTACAATGATGATGTTTTATAATTATGATGTTTTACAATGATGATGTTTTACAATGATGATGTTTTACAATGATGATGTTTTACAACGATGATGTTTTACAATGATGTTTTACAATGATGATGTTTTATAATCATGATGTTTTACAATGATGATGTTTTACAATGATTATGTTTTACAATGACTATGTTTTACAATGATGATGTTTTACAATGATGATGTTTTACAATGATGATGTTTTACAATGATGATGTTTTACAATGATGATGTTTTACAATGATGATGTTTTACAATGATGATGTTTTACAATGATGACGACACTTAATTAGATGACATATAATCAAGCAAAACGCATCTTTACTATGAGATCCACCATTAAGTGCCAGCAAGTCAATTCAGATGCCCGCAGACAATCTGAGACCAAATGCACACAATTTGAATATATTTGAACAATGCTATGCACTTTATATTCACCTCCCCAAGTTGTCCAACTAGTCCTGTTCATTTCAGCCTCTCCCAGTGCGGAATGGCTGGCACATTCATACGTCGAACGCCTCAATGCAAACCATTTCCATGGCATCCACGGCAAATTGGATCCCCAAACAATGGTAGAAGCCTCGATACTTCGTAGTGTTCATCGATTCAAAACACCATGCAGGTCGTTTCGCCCAAATCCATCGAATCAATCGAATCATTGGTTGCAAAAAATCATGGTCCGAAATTGCTTGAGCGACCACCCTTTTGGCCGGGTGCAGTTGGGGTTGGGATATGTAAGTTGGGATATTGCAGATATACAACCGCACAAATGTCAGGTAGTCCATATTTTTGAGCCATCCATACTGCCTGATTTTGTGTCTAGGGGATGATGAAACCTACAGATACGATCCACTGGAAAACTGCCATGATGGACCGTCCCAGTATGGATTCCTATGGCAAATCCCTCATATCCTGCGAATTGCGTCCTATGCACACATACACACAAGTTTCGTAGGTAGGTGTATCTGCATATTGCATAAGCTTGTGATGTCAAGCGTGTTCCGCCTTTCACAAAAACAACTAACATCATCGGTACTTCCACTCATGGTTCTACCATGCCAACAAAACAGATCTTGTAATATCCGTGTGTATATATATACCCTCTGGTAAACTAATATAGCCTAGCTATGGAAAATGGCCCATTTACAGTTAATTTACCTATTCAAAGTGGAAATTTTCAATAGTCATGATAGTTTACCAGAGGGTATATTTGTATATATAACATCAAAACTTCAGGTTCCCGGGCGATACTCAGGACCGCTCCAAGGCACCTCAAGGTGAGAGGAACGGTTCCTCTCCATCTGACCATGACATGGCGAAGCTAGTAATCTTTGATTTGCACCAAAAATGCCAAGGACATCTTTGCAAACCTGGTGAAAATGGCAATGACATGGCTAACATCCCACATCTTCTTGTTTGCCGCATATTCATGTATATATATATATACATATATATATATATATGTCAGAGGCAAATAATTAAACCAGTCAAGTGCCCAAGCAGGTTTTATCATGCTTTGTCCATCTGACTGGTGATCATTGGGTACATAAACCACAGTCAGGGGTATGACAAAATGGAGCTATACCATGCCATACCCTCCTGTCAACATACCTATTTCATGAATTCCCGACTCGGAACTCAAACAATTGAATCACCTACCACCAAAATATTTCATGTAAAATATGTGGAACCACTTCTCTATACATCTATTGAGTTTTACCCTCTAATCATCTCCGACAACGAACACATTCCGGTTGCAACTGGCTGGCAGTGCTTTGTGGCGGTCCTCCAGTGCCCTTTCTGAAAAACACATCTCCAGAATATTGAGCCATCAGAAAGATGCAGGGACCATCACAATTCTATCCAGTTCCGTGGTCAATGATCTTTCACGTAGTCTGGTTGGCGGTTTCAACCCATCTGAAAAATATGAAAGTCAGTTGGGATGATTACTCCCAACATATGGAAAAATAAAAAATGTTCCAAACCACCAACCAGTAGTTTAAGATCACAGTATGGATGGGCGCGCCCCTATGGCGATTTGTTATATTAGACATCTGCAAGATGATTGCGCTAGGGAACCCAGCTCCTCTTTCATTCTCGTTGGCAAACATGACCCTATTTGATCCACATCACTCACGTACCGCGACCCTCTACCCACCAAAACGGGCCACCGTTGAACCGTCCGTGGCGGTTTCAACCCCCGCTCGTCATTGGGGATCATAACACAAATATATCTGACGATATTTGAAACATGTTGGTTTACCACCAACCACACATTTTGATACTTAATTTCTTGACAATTTACCACGTCCTTTGTGGTGAATTGAGGCTTACGTTATTGTTTACCACGAGCACGGTACGCTCTGGGTCTCCCCAACGGCTACGCTGGACAGCTCACTCCTGGCCGTTGCCACACCTCGCTTTGAAGGGACGATCAAGCCACGCTGCCGGCTTCGGAACCCCTGGTGAAGCCACGTAAATAGGTGGTAAACTGGAGTCTATCCCACCCGAATCTACCAAACAAAATGGTATTTCAATGTATTTCATAGGTTTTGATCACCTCCAAAAAGGTTTCAGTGCCATCTCCAACAAGCTCGCAGTGGGGTATCACATTACCTGGTTTGGTTTCGATTTTTGCGGGTCAAATGAGTCAAATGCCTTGCCCAAAACTGTTGAGTGGTGGGGTACGGAAATACCCAGATCGCCTGGCCGTGCAACCACACAGAAGCACCAAGCAACAGAGCTCAATTGGACGTTTCTATGCGTTTCAAAAGCCATTGGAGTATCAACATTAATCAGTGGATTACATATATCCAATATTATCCAGTTCTCAGGGGATATATGGCTATGAGTCAAAACCCTCACTTTCTCATTTTCTCACTTTCGCCTGGAACTCCCGCTCAGAACGCGGAGACGGGTGCTCGCGACACGTGAAACTTTCAGGGCGTCCAGCCCGGTGGCACATTGGCCATGTCTCGTTTGATTTGTCTGGCTGGCAATCGGTCGACATGTTTCTGGAGGAAGGAGTCAAGGTGAAGGAGGTCGTTAGAAGACAGACAAACCGCAACGTGCCCTGACCAAAACGTCAGAACGTGGCTTGGTGGCCTTCTTTGTTGTACTGTTAAAGGCTGACTGGCATCTTTACAGGCATTTTGGAGGTACCGCGCAAACCACTGTACTTGCTGTCGATGTTCATATAAGTCAGGTTGGCGACTACTCCATGTCTTTCCATCGCATGCAGGACCAACATGTTGTGTGTACTTCTGAAAATGGAGGAGCAACTGGTGAAAACTGACCCATTGAGCAGGCTTCTCAGGTGGGCAAACATGTTTGAGCCATCGCAGCATCGGTTCAGCTGCTGGGATTTGGTATTTGGCTGGGAGGTCTGCTACCGACATGCTAGCTAGTGTCTGCAAGGCGCTGTCTGCTTCTGGTTCTTCTGGGTGTCCAGGACCTACAGGGTGGATCATGTTCGCTTCTGGCATTGCTTTGGCTTGCTGCGCTTTCACTGCGATAGCAACAAACATACTGTGGAGCTGACGTCCCAGCTTCCGCCATCTGAGCAAATCAGTCGTCAGGGCTTCCCTTGTCAACCACAAAGCGGCAGGTAAATTCGCACGGGCAGCTGCGGCGCAAAAATCTGCAGCTTGGTTACCTAGGGTGGCCCACGTATCCAGCGGTGTCTCTTGTGCTTGTGGGTCCGTGTGCGCTTGGACCTTAAAGACCTGGGAAATGTGAGGCCTGGCAACTCGCCACTGACACTGTAAGCGTCTCCAGAGATCTGCATCCTTCTTGTTAGAAACATCCAAGGCTGGGTCAGACATCAATGCCTGAAGTACCTGGACAATTTGCAAATTGCCAACCCATAGCCTACAAGGTTTACTACTGGAGGAAGCAAATGTCACCGCTGCTATTGCTGCCGTGATTTCTCCCCGGAGGCTAGTCTGGCTCCTCCCGGGAACTCCGCCATTGGCCAATGGTTCATAACCCTCAACTGTCCAAACTACTACACCCCATGTGGCGACCCGCAGGTAGCAGTCGTTAGGGGTCACGCAACTGCCGTCAAGGAAGAGGTCATGAAAAACCATAGGCTGCACTTCGGTTGGAAGGAAAAACTCTCTGGTGGTATCTGGGATCTTGTCTAGTTCCCGCTGGAAAGGCAGTAAATGCTGGGAGCTAGGCAGCCAGCCATGGTTCAGTAGGCATAGTGCCTCTGTATGCCTGAGGCAAGCAAGGTCAGGAAACTGTTGCCTAACATCCTCAAAAAACTTGCACTGCCAGTGTCTGTGGAAAGGGCTGTCTCGCTGGTCACAAAATTTACAGGTGGGATCCATGACAACATTCGCATTGGCCAGGGCGTCATTGGTGAACTGTGTCCCATTAAGGGCGCAGCGCATCACCCCTTGGTGGTCATTGGGAAGGCTGGTCAAGCATTCCTGTGTAAGTTGTACGTCTGCTTCACTAGCTCCTTTCATGGTCTTTCTCAGATCTTCAAGGATGGCCATGACACGAGTTTGCCATGCTTGTCTCAAACGTTCTTCAAGTTGCAGCTTTGGGATTGTAACCAAGTCTACTGCATCATGATTCTGGTCTCTCCACTGTCCATGATGTTCCCATGACCACGCAATCTTAAACAAGCACTGCAACAGGCTGGAACATGGTCCTTGGCTCGTGCAATGACCTTCCATGGTGGCTTGGATGGTCTGTTGTGCCAGTTCTTGCACATGGCATTCACGAAACGACATGACTGTGTGGAAAAGGCAGTAGAACTCGGGGTCAACTTTGGGTTTGCAAACACATGACAAATGCAGCAGGGGGTTAACTCCCGCCTGGGTGGCTCCAAGTGCTTTGGCTGCCAAAGTGCGCAACCGTTCATAGTGGCAGTTACCTATGGTGACAGTGCTAATGCCATAAAACAGGTTGGGCCAGGCTGCCGTCAGGATGGCTCTTTGTTTCTGTGATGCTGGAGCGCAGCTGCGCGCTGCTCTGTGCCAAAACTGCTGCAAGGAATCCATCTTCTGGGTGATGGTTTTGTTTGTGCGAAGGCGCCCGTAGCTCATGTGTCCTCCAAGGTCACGTGCATAGAGTTTGCTGTTGTGCGCAAAGTCTCTGATGGTCTTGCGGCCTGTAGCTGTGTTGGACCAACAATAGCTTTTGCTAGCGTCGACTTCCAAGTCCATCAATTCGCAGAACTGTGTGAGCAACTCTTCTGATTCGCAAGCTTCATGTGCTGAGTCAGTCAGGGTCTCGATGTTGTCAACATAGTTCCAACACTGAATTGAAGGGTTACGGTGGTACATCCATACATCACTGGTCAAGTTACAAACAGCCATGGCCACGGTGGAAAGGCCACAACCTTCAGGGAAACTACAATTGCTAGGCAGGGCTTCACCTGTGCAACCTCTGACCTGGAACCTGCGTTGAAACATGGTCAGTGCAGTGCCCCAGGGCTTTAACACGCAGGGGGGAATGCCGATATGTTCTGCTATGTCCAGCAGGGGCTGTCTAGGCAGTGCATTGAAGCATTTGACGATGTCGATGACACAACCTGCAACTTCCAAGTCAGTGGCATGTGCATGTTCAATTACCTCTTGAATATGATACCACATTTGCTTGGGGCTACGGCTAGGCATGTTACCTAACTGGGTGGCTGGCACGATTGAAAGCAAAAATTTCAAGCACTGCTTTGCTCGGATGCTGGACCAAATTCTGTAAACCAATGAGAAAATTGTGATTGGCCTGTACTGCCAGGTGGTACGTGCTGACGGTACCTTGGCTAAAGCTGCGATCATACCTGTGACTGCCTGGCTTGGCCAGGCAGCTCCTTGTTCAATGGCTTCGATCATGGCTAAAAGGTCTCGAATGACCGCATCTGGAACACGGAGCAAGTCTTCTCTGGAGACTCCGTCTGGGCCAACTGCTGCTGTTCTTTTCTTTCTCTTGGTTTCCTTTCTCCACTCTTCAAGTGTGATAGCAGGAAATTCGATTTTGCGTGAAGGAACTGCTGCTTTCATAAAACTGGTGATGGTGGTCCATTTGTCAGGCTGTTCATGGTCTGGTTTGAGCCATCTGGGTGCCCACTCTTCATTGAACTTTTGGATAATGGCAACCGCATCACCTTCAAGTTTTTCCGCTACCACTGACGCATCCAAGCTGATGCAGGCATTTGGCACTACTAGCTCTGTCTGGCTGTTAATGTTAACCTGAACTGGCACTGCATTGATAGTGATGCTGTCAATTGCATGCGGCAGGGGCTGGGCAAGCTCAAGGATAGAGTCAGTTCCTACTTGCTGGATTTGGTTCACCTCAACTGTGTGCTGTACAATTAAGGTTTGAACCGGTTCAGCTGGTTCTCGCTGGACATCCTTAAAAATAAGGTTGGGGTCCTGGGCCCTCCGTTGGAGTGCATGGTCAAGTTTGGCGCTTGACAGGTTTCTTTCCAACTGGCGGTAATGGGCAAGAAACTCAGTAAAGATAGCCAGAGCTTGGTCAAGTTCTGGGATCTGCAAAGGGATGACATCTGGCGTGTCGAGGAATTGTTTGGGCGTGTCCGCCCACCACAGACAAAAACCTCCTGGGAAGCCAGGTGCAGTGCGGATTTTGTGCCATAGGTTGGCTCTATGCTCTACCAGGGACGGCTGTGCTGGCGTGGCCCCAAGGCAACGTGACAGGTGCTGCAGTCTGCGCACTTGTTTGGTCCAACGGCTGTGCTGTAATGAGCATGTGCCCAACGTTGATTGGACATCTCCTCTTCTGTTGGGTTTGACCGGCGCAACTTGGGCATTAGTCCAGTGAACTTCTGCTGTGGTGGCGCGACCTAGCTGGTTGGAGCTCACTACGAGGCCGTGTGCTTCGTGTGCTTGCTTGGCATACTGTTCAGCATTTTTCCAGATACAGTGATACCAAACATCCATGTCTTGGTGTGGGACTGCGCTTTGGTCCCACGGCATGTCGAGCAGGTGGCTTGGCCAACCAAATTTACTGGGTTTTCTCCATATGGGCAGCTTTGGGGGGGCATTGAAGTCCGCCAAATGGACAATGACTACAGCATGGTCAGGGAATAAAGACCAGTTGAGTTCAACATCTGTGACAAACTGGACGACTTCTGGCGACATGTAAATGTAGTCTTTGACACTGGTCCGCTTGCAAGTGCATTGAATGGGTCTGTTCCACCGCAACCTTGCAAGTTGTTGGGCTTCGATCCATCCCTTGGATTCCCACTCATCGGCCTGGACAAGTTGGTTTCTATCTAGGTTCCAATCACCTGTCATGAGTCTGAGTCCGGATGCCCCGTGCAGAACCCTGCTGGTGAGCTTAGAGAGTAAGCTATCAGTGTTCTGTTGGACTTCAAGAGACTGTCGGTGTTCATTGAAACCATAAACAGTGCCTACTGTGATCCAATGGTTCTGAATGTGGGCAGCGGCAACCAAGCAGCGCCCGGTGTCAAATTCTGCAGCTGTCCAATGGTGCTGGAGCTGTCTGCATGGAAAAGCAGACAATACTGCAACTCCGGTGTGTCTGCCTCCAACGGAGCTTAGTGCTTGTGACCTTGGTGGTGCAGGCTTGCCATGTGTGATTGTGTATCCTGTTTTCTGCCAAGTCAGCTCTTGTTTGAACGCTGGAATTGCATGGGTGGTAAGGTGGGTTTCTTGAACTGTGTACAAACCTTTGGGCAAATCATGAAGGTCTTTGGCTTTGGACCTCAGACCAGTTGGGTTCATATTTCCGATTGCAACTGGGCCAGGGTTTGCGGCTTCCCCCAGCCGGCAAGTAATTACAAAAAATGCAAACAATATTGTCAAAAACCTGGGTTTTCGAGCCACCTTTGATGTTGATGGCTGAAGGCATGCGGATGATGGTATCTTCTGTGCCTTATGGGCCGGTCGGCAAGGCACTGTCGAACCTTCATAATTACAACTTTCCCCATGATGGCCTAGTCACTCCAAGCGAGATCGCTTGGTTAACAAGCTTTCAATCTTGTCCATCTGTTCAGCAAGTTTATGGTCAAGGGCTTGACCAAACATGATGCCTTGGTGCTCGATCTGAGTCTGGATTTGGCCTACTCTGTTTTCCAGGCCAGTTTGCGAAACCTGGACTTGGCTGAGCTGCTTTTCCAGGTGTTGTACTCGATCCTCAAGGGCGCTGGGCTCCATGGAAGCATCTCCATCAGGCATCTTTGCTTGAAGGCTGTTCATGATTTTGCGTTCCAGACTTGCTTCGAGGGCGGCCAATTGCGGTGTTGACAGGCTTGATTGAGTCACTGGCATATGACTGGATGTGGGCACCGCAGCAGGCGGTCGTTGCCATGGATCATTCTGGAGCCATGGGTCTTGGGATCCCAAGTGCTCCAGGGTTTTCTTGCTAGCAATCACCGCAAACTGTCCAGTGGGCGCGGTTGGCTTGGTCTGCTGCTGTTTGGTAATGAGAACATCACCATGCTGCAGGGAGTAGATCCAAAAAGCTGGGTCTTCAACCGCTTGAATTGCCCATTGGATACCATTGGAGTCTGGCGTCCTCCCTTTCGGTTGAAGGGGGCGTGCATCCCATTTCCAGGCTCTTAGGAGCTTGGCTGCTCCTTCTTTTGTGGTGGAAAATGGAAGCGGTCCGATGGTATAAAAGGTCTTGGACCCAAGGAGCAAGGGGGTCTCTGGACGAAACTTGTCGTGTACTGTCTGGGCGTTCATGGCATCTGATCGTAGCCCATAGCGGTCTCCATGTCTGCACAGGCTGGTCGCCTGTGGTGCAGTCTGTTGGGCGTACTTCGCCTCTTGGAAATTCATGCCTGGCAGCCAAGTCACATGATCTGTGTCATTTTGTTTGCGGCCACACTGGCTTCTTGGCTCATAGTAGATCCCGTTGTTGCTGCTGGCTGCTAGCAACTCTTCATATCGGTCTGATGCCATACGGAAGGTGAAAGCAAACATGTCGGTATTGGCAGGCTTTGCCTTTTCAAAACGTTTTGTCAGCCATTGGCGGTCCCAGACATCGATGATCGGTGACTTTGTTTCTTCTGATCCCTGCAAAATGCGTTCCTGGCCAAAAATGGTTTTGACAGGTTGCTTCTGCATTGTGTCCCAAAGTGGGCCGACCTGGTCTCGAAAGACCATGCAACGCACGGCTTCTGTGGCAATCTGTTCGACAGCTAACTTTTCTGCTGGCTCATGTCTACGGACTTCTAAGGCACCAAGCTGGTAGACATATCCTGACACAATGATAGGCTCCTCTGTTTTGACGCAAATGGCCGGGAACCTTGTGGGATCAATGTCATGGGCATCAGCATTTGCTTTGGTAGCCAAGACAATCATGGCCAGTCCTTGGTGAGTGACAGGAGCTTGCATCTTCCGCAGGGCCAATGAGTCAGCTTGGTCAACCAAAACGATGCCTTTGGAATTCGGTCCAATGTCCAGAGGCCGCACAGGGCCGAGAATGTGACCATCCTGTTGCGCAGAAACTCCATGGGGCACCTGAAGTTCAGCGGCATTGATGGCTGGTGGTTCGGTGGTTTTGGTGCTACCATGTCTCTGGTTGGAGGCGTTTTTCTTGCCATACTTTTGCTTCTTGTGTGCTCTAGCATCAATCTGTGCTTGGAGTTCATCCGGCATAATCAACTTGAGTATGGGCGAAACATGATTTGCAGCTGCCTTGAGTTCCGGCCATGCTTTGTTGGAACCGAGAATGGTCCGCAAGGTGTTGTGGTTGATCTTGGCCAATACCTGTTGGGCTCTTTCATTTGCTCGGTCAGGCCAAACTCCATGATCAAGGAGGAGGGTGGTAACCTGATCTTGCAACTGCTTGTCATGTTGGGCGCCCCCCAAGGACAACTGGCTGATGACATCATGATGTCTGTCTTCATGCAAAAGGTGAGCAGCAAAACATATTCTCCATCCCTCGGCTTTTTCTGCTGGGAAGGCTTCGATTGGTATTTCGAGTGTGAGTGCAAACAACCATGCAAAAGCCTGGAATCCACAATCGGCTGCGAAAGCTTGGGGCAACTGGATTTGGACTACCCTCAGGGTCATGTTCTGCCAATTCACCAGTTCTTGGGCTGCGGGCATCAACGGTGATCCCTCTGGAGTTGTGTGCATATGGAAGATGGTCTTTTCACGTCGGAGCATGACAGGAACCCAGTGGTGATGGATGATACATGCTGTGATACACGTCTGGTGGTCCTCCAAATAGTAGAAAATGTCATGGAGCCACACTGCGGCTTCCTCATGTGCGGCTCCATCATTACAAAATGACGTGACTGGCATGACATCCGCAAGTCCTTGCTGGGCAATGACCTGAAGGTAAAATTCCATCTCATCAGAGGCAACCCAACCTTGTTGTTGCCACAGGGCTTCACGCCGAGTGCATGGCAACACAATGGCTGGCAGTGAGTTTTCTGCTTTCATGAATTTGCAGGGCTGTCCTGGTCGAAACTTGGAGAGCTGGATGAACTGGTCACCTTGCAGAGGATCCTGAGCATGCATGTGCGTGTTTACCCATGTGCGGGGGCATGTAACATCTTGTTCTCCAGCGAGTGCATCTTCTGCTTTCTGGAGGTCAGCGGGTGTTGTACCAAGTGGTACCTTCACTGCAACAGGGATTTGTGCGTGTTCATGCATGACCCACACCTGGAGTGTGTCTGAGGGGCCTTCTGCTTTGGCCTGCTCGGTGATGTGGTCCCTCTTGGGCGCATCCTCAGTTGTTACCAAGACCATTTTTTGAGTGTTTTGAGTTGTATCTGTTAAGGAATGGTCTGCGCTGGAGACCCCGGTGCGAGACTGGGCAGTGTTCCAGTCTTGTATGTGAACCTTTGGTGGCAGTGGCACAGCACCTGAACCTTCAGTACGTGAGTTGCAACGTGGCTTCTTGCGGGTTTCAAACCCCATGACTCCTCCAATCTGGTCACAGGCAGGCGGGGCTGGTCTTTTGTGGTTGGTTGGCTTCAGCTCAGCATCGGTGTGACCTGCTTGAAGCAGTAATGGGCTCTGGGACGGCCTGGCAATGCCTAAAGCTGGTGTATCAAGTCGGTGTCTACCAATGTCACATGCCTGAAAGTCGGTCTGTGCAACTTCGCCAGGGATGGCATTATGGTGTCCCGGAGTTGCCATCATTCCGGGGGTCGGCAGACTAGTACCTTGTTCATGGGCGTGATGCTCTTGGTATCCGTCCATAGGCATGTTCAGATCATCTTGAGTAATCTCACCAGGCAAAGGACCATCACTTGTCTTGGAAACATTGCTGGCATTCTGGTATCCCGGAGTTGCCAGAATTCCGGGTGGCAGGGCTGGGGCATCACCACCACGGGCAGTGGTGCTTGATGATTTCGGCTTCACAAACTCCATGGATGCAGTGGTTACTTTCGGTTCAGGCAAGCTGCCACCAACAGTGTGGTCAGCGTAATGGGTGGCATTCTGGTATCCCGGAGTTGCCACCATTCCGGGCAGGAAGGCTTCAGGCTTCTGGACTTCTGTGGCTGCAGGAGATTGTTCCGCTTTTGTGCTAGCAGGACCTGGTGTTTCATTGGCATGGCAACTGGCATTCTGGTGACCCGGAGTGGCCAGGATTCCGGGGGTCGGCGGAAGGTCAACAAGAGGACCTTCTCCAGGACCAGCATGGTGCAGTAGATCTCTTCGGGAGAGATCTACTACTACTTCAGGGCGGTGGCCATCAGGCGGACTGGTCTCGTTGTCTTCTTCTAAGTCGGTGGTGAACATCGTTGGAAATGGCTTGTCATCAGGTTTCATTGCAGTTGGCTCACTGATACAATGAGTCTCGAGTGCATCACCTGTGAGCTGAAGGGGCGTGCTGGCTTCGTCAGTTGCTTCATGACTGGCATTGTGGTGTCCCGGAGTTGCCAGTATTCCGGACAAAAGGACTCTCGACAGGACCAGCAAGAGGGCAAATCTGGCGGATGGACGGCACTGAATCATCTTGGCTGACAGGAGGGCATGTCAAGTTGATGTGGCTGCATTTTTCGCCTGCTGCATCAGCACTTGCTACTCCATAAACCCTGAAGACCAAAGCATTCAAAGGCGGCGTGGCTGTGGTGCTGGCATCAACTACCGGTGCGCTCTGCAGTGGCAGTGGATAAGACTCCTGTGCATCCAGCAATGGGGCAAACATTTTGACCTGGGTCTCACAAGTGTACTGAGCAGGCTGTTTGGTACCATCATCGAACCTGTGACTGGCATTATGGTTTCCCGGAGTTGCCAGCATTCCGGGGGGGCTCTCGGCACGACCAGCAAAGGAACTTGGCAGACAGGTGGAAGGCACTGGGACATGCTTTCGGACCGGATGAAATGACGCTGTTTCACAGCTCTTGGAACCGGATGCATCGGATGGGTTCATGCTATGTACACCGGAAACTGGGCAATCTACCGTCAACGAATGCAAAGCTTTGGCAACACTGGGCCTGGCCGTGTTGGCATGTGCATCCACTGCATGCGTCTCGCTGTCTTGTCCAGCATTGGCAACTACAAGCACCGGGCAGAGTCGGAAAGGCTGGCATTTTCATCATGGTTGGACAATTCAACAGCAGTTGGAGTGGGTCCAACAGGAACCTGTGAGATGGGTGACATTTGAAACTTCCCTTCATCAACCATCTGTTGAAACATGATCGTGCTTGGCTTGGCAGGCAACCCAAAAACTTCATCTCGTTCTTTCAGCAACTGTTTCATGAGCCCTAGCAACACTTGTTCTGGGGTGGCAGGGCATGGCAATGAGAATGCGTGGTTGACATGTTGCATGATGTGTGCTCCAATCCAGGTAGATTGTAACGGTGATGCAAGCTGGCCCAAGGCGCAAAGTGCAAGCTTGGGTTCTTCCCATGTAAATCCTGGCAACATCCCGTTCAAAAGTGCAAGTTCTGCTGGGTGAACATGTCGGTAACATGGATACAACGACGAGCCACACATGACCTGTCCAGCAAGCCTCACAAGCAGGCCATGGAGGCCACCTTTGTTCAAACGGCTTTCAGTAAACGGATGTTTGCGGCAACCGCAGGGGCAGGCACCTAGCTGGTTTCCACAACTGTGGAGTGCTGTGGCTGCTTTGCCATTCCACTGAATTTCATTTGTTTCAAAACCAACTGCACCAAAACGACCCAACTCGTAAAGATCCAACATGAGATTCTTCAATTCAAAATCATTGCAAGATTTGAATGAGTCAATCAAATGGGCTACCAACGGAGTTGGGGTCACTTGCGGAAATGGATTCCAAGGGATATTCCCGATTGCTGGGTGCGCAAGGATGCACCACCATCTGTGTCTGCGAGTGGGCCACACATCCTGGAGCCTTAGCTCTCCTTGGGAAACATGGTATCCAGTAAGGCTTGAAAAATTGGCCAAGACCGTTTGGACCCAGGAGCAATTTTTGGCTTCAACTACACATTCCAAGACCATCACACCGTAACGGCCCAAGAATCCAAACCGGAGTGTTCCTGGGAGTGTGGCTGACCTGCTGTCTGCCTGTGCCAAACCATCTCCAGTCGACTGTACGGTTGGCAGGCTACTCCTGCCGTCAGGATACCTGCCTGTGGGGCCAACTGACATGCCTGGGCAAGGACACTATCGTCATTCAAATTTCCCAAAAGGGTTGGTACATCCGAAATCTGTTTTGCCAACTTCAACATGTTCGGATTGCAATCATTCCTCAAAAGGACTTCGAACCCTGCGTGATGCATGCCCACACCCAAACAGCCCATGCCGGCACAGACAGAGCTCAACCACTTTCGTCAGCCCAGAAGCATGCATGCTGGGGCGTGGAATGGTCACAGTGTCTTTGGATGGGGTGACTACCCATTGCTTTCCTACTTCGGTAGTGATAGCATTGGTAACCAAGAGGATGGTGCAATTGGCAGGAAGTTCCCCTTGGTAGATCATATGGGCACCCTCCAAAGCAGTTTTGATTCTATGGCTCAACTGTTTCTCATCAAAAACGGTCACTTCAACCAGCGCAGTCCATGTGCCCCCATTGCGGGGGATTTGTTCCAGAAAGGAGACATCCATTGTAGGCAAACCCCCAAGGATCAGTTGAAACAGCTCTACTTCGGAACTGGTAAGACTTGGGCCAGAGCTATGGGTCAAAACCCTGGCACCTAGGAACCCTAATGTAGCTGGTTAATGGATGACAATTCCAAAATATGTATATAATAATAGGTTAATCAGTTTTGACCCATCCCCATGTCATTTAACCGAGTTACTAACCACTTCGCAACCTCCGCCCATCTCAATAACCCCCATGTTTTCATCATGTCTGCCTGCGCCATTGATGGAGCGCGGCGGTTTTGCCTGGGTGATGTTGAAAGAAACTAGTCCCATATGCTCCATGAAACATTAACCATTCTTTACCCCAAGAATGACCCAAATGCAGGTAACTATATACCATACACAGAGTATATGGGTGTCATATAGCTTGATAACCTCTTCAATCTATTGGTTGAGGTGTTCCTCATCAATGAATTATGGGGTGTGCTCTGGGAAGAAGTTGATCATAACAAAAAGATCGCCAGTAAAGTAACATACAGTAAAATCAACCGATAAGTGGGACAATCTACCGGATCACCCGGAAACATGTTTAGGTAGTTTTCAAGTTGTTCTTGGCCTTAGCTAGTTTCTCTTACTAGTTTCAAAGTTGTGTTTAGATGTTGCTGCTTTCAAACTTTATTGGATTTCCCAACATGATCATTTTTTTTTGGAACTTTCTGGGGGTAACTCGGAAGAAACATGTATAGTTATACTGTACTGTTTTGCTGTCTAATCTCCTCCACTTCGACAATTCCCTTGCAAGAAGTCCCAAAATCGTGAAGTTAACGCTGAAACTAAGGATTGTCCTGTGGCTGACTACTTTTCAGCTTGCTCTGCACAGTGGAAAACTAGTTTTTTGAAGTGGTTATCAATCGATTCCTAAGAGATTTCAAAAACATTGGGCAATTTACTACTGTAGGAACATATTGGGATTTTAAGCGAGCAAGAATTACGCTATGATGATGATAATATGACATGGGTGATAAAAGCCATGAGTTGCGAGGGAGATATACAGTAACTCCGCAACAATTGCGACACAATGAGGAAGATTTAATGATTTTTTTCACAAAAGGCATGGAGATATCATCAATAAGAACTAGGGGTTGGCAAGTGAGTGAAGTTGGTAAAATCCGATTGAATCTAGGATTGATGCTTTTTAAGTGCAAAGAAATCCCGTGAAATCCCTTACAATGCGAGCTAGATCACTGGTTAGTTGCATTTACTGTAGTTACCGTGTATAGTCCCTTACAGTATGCCTGGGAGATATGAAAACAATTGAAAACATATGACTCGCGTTGCAACCTTGAGAAGCTAAGCTCAAGTGTGGTTGGCGGTTGGGTTTGTATGTTCACAAGAATCACGCATCAATGATGTTCCCAATCAACAACAAACGGAACATCAGCCATTGATAGCCATCATTTTGATGTTATCCTTCCAAATTGTGGTTATCTATTGCCATATTGGACTTGACCCAGAGCCACATGAAGAAGGTACGGCAGGTAAGAATCAAAATTACCCCAAAAGTAAGTTGCTTTATGTAACTACCTCCCAAAATTCTTAAACATTTTGTCCAAACCATACCCAAAATCCATGAAAACCAAATAAATACCTCCTAAGTTCGGTAAATCAACTATAAACGAACCATTTTCAATAGCTATGTTAGTTTACCAGAGGTTAAATACCTCCTCTTCCTATTTTTTTCTAATGCCACTTTTTGGGGTCAAAACAACTACCGTCGAAACAACGAAACTGACGCCAAGGTCACTGGAGGAGAACCACCACGCAGCGCAGGGAGTTGTGAACTGGGCGAGCGAACTGATAGCAAACCCCAAAAAAGATAGAACTAATTCTGAGATTGTTTATCTTGCTATCATCATCCGATAGAACCGGTAATTTTGATCGGATGTTGAATTTTTACTATCTTTGCTCGATAAACATTCTATAAATCCAGACTACCTTGCAATTTCTCCTTCAACTGGGTAGTAAAGCCTAATGCCCATTTCTGGCAAAATCATGAGTCATTGGCCCATCAGCAGGCTTCGGGTCTCAAGCTTTGGAACCCTAAAATCATATAAAATCATAAAGAAATTGCTGGATTCTTTGAGATGTTTAGGGATACGCATCTAATTTCCAATCATTTCGATGTCCATGAAAGTTAGGACTCCATCAAGATGTGTGCTTGGTGGCTCATCCCACTTACTAAGCAGGTTATCTCGTTATGTCTCTAAGTATAAGCAGGATAGTATGGGTAAATCCCCGGAAAAAAAAACCGACGATTCGTAGGAAGCAGCGAGTGGCTTCGGAAGTCCAGGGTCCACTGGTCGGTCAGGCCGGGTCACCTGGCGGAGGTCATCCTGGAATCCTCTTCTGGATGATTTTTTGGGGTCACATGAGTTACAAAAGCATTAAAACTGTTAGCATATGTAACCAACTACAAAACCCCAAACATTATGTTAGTAGCTTAATTAATGGTTGCCAGCTAATCAGTTTTCGATGCCCGACAAAACCATTCATTTGTTAGCTGGTGAGTAGATATTCCTATTCACAACAGACAATTAAAGGATTAAACCACCCATCCAATGTTGACCGAGGTTACGTGTCTGGATAAATCATAAATGGTTATATAAACATGCTGCCCGGCCACTGTCTATTTTCATCTGCGATGGCTGGGATTCCATCACCAGCGGGTCGTGTTTTGTGATCAAAAGCTGGTTCTATTCCGAACCAGGCTGAGACCACCACTGATGGGCGGGTCTTATGTGCAGGCTGGGGGAGCTTGAGAACGACATGTTTGGTTTCATGTTTGCTGTCAAACATGATGCCCGGCCACTGTCTATTTTCATCTGCGATGGCTAGGGATTCCATCACTAGCGGGTCGTGTTTTGTGACCAAAAGCTGGGTCTATTCCCAAAACTTCCACCAACCTCTCCATGCTCCTCGGTGTCTTCAGCCTGGTAAAGGCGCAGCCATGTTGAAGGAGGAATGGCTGCGTTGAGAAACTTTACTGCTTTACTCAGAATAGTGGGAAAGGCAGAGGCGAGCTGTTGAATGCTAAGCTTGGCATCATGTGACAGCTGCTCAGTGTAGGTGGTGTACATAACCTCTTGCACGTAAATGTCCATGACTTTGCTTTTCACGCATCTACCTTGACGTCTGACTCTTTCCGGGTCCTGATATTCCATAAGCAGAAAAGTGGCTCCTCCTGGACGAAGTGATCCTAAATCAAAAGGCCTACTCCCTGACACTCGCTTTGTGGGAAGTCCAAGTCCTGTCAACAGATCTGCAAACCTTCGCCTGAGGGTGGCCGATTGCTGCCACAGTTTTTGGTCTCCAGGAAACTTGCAAAAACAGCCTCAAGCAAAATGATCACATCTGGAGGGTCCACACGAGCCACCTGGTGCCGTGCTGCTCTGCCACGGGTTTTTGGAGCCTTGTTGCTTTTCTATGCTCAGTCTAAGTCTGGTGAAGTTGTTAACATGTGGGGTTATCCGGTCCTATAATTTTTGGACATCTGCAGGACTGCCAGCCCAGGGTATACACATGCACGTACATGTACACATACACATTGCATTGGAATAAATTCCATCCAATTACATAACATAGCATGAGATAAAATGAGATGCGAGAAAATGACATGGCATGACATGACCTAACGTAACATAACATAACATAATTAAGATTACATGACATAATGTAAGATAAGGTAACATGAGGTAACATGAGATGACAGGAGATAACATGATATAACATGAGATAACATGAGATGGAATGCACGGATACTTGTATGTGTATACTGTATATACATATTAAATAGAATGCGTAGTATATGTTTCATGGAACTGTGTGCCATACATCCATTCTAACTGTCTACTCGCCATCTGGCATTTTAACTTTCAGATTTTAACTTTCAGCCCCTCGGTATAATGTGAATCGACAAAATCAGCAAAGGCACCTTCGAATTCAACAGCACAGGAGCACAGCCTGGCGCGTTCTTCACGGGAGTCATCCTACATCCAAACTGCCAAACAAAAGTAATCAAGCTAGCTAACCATTCATGAAATAATTAAAAAATATTAAATACTTCCCAAATTGATATCAATTTCACAAACACACGACGGCTCCAAGTGACAAGAAACAATCCTTTGGCAAAATCCAGAAGGACATTCTGCACATCCGCTCGCAAACAGAGATCGGTCCTTCGCTACAAGGGATAGGGGTAAGTGGCGGCTCGCCACCGCAAATCACCTGACCGCCAAGTTTACCGTGTCCGGCCTCTTTTTAATTGTTTTTAGTGCAATAATTCAATAGTTTTCTTAGAAACTGGATGCAAGGCCTTGCTTAGCGCATCAACCAGCCATTTTTGTCAACAAAAACAAACTACATAAAAATTGGTTCCAATGAAAATGCAACTAGACTAAATACGAATGTAAATTTTCAAAATGCAATTACGTCTATAGTCTATAGAAGGCTGGTTCACTCGCATGTTGTGATTGTGATCCATGGATAAAAAAATGGAATTGACGTTATTGTACAGCCACAACCTGCCTATAACCCATGGAACCCAGAGTGGGTTTCAAACAGATGTGGTACATCTGTTCAACATCTATCGGTTTAAGCATCCCTTCGCAAAGCCTCGGCCTCTGCATTTTCTTCCTGCAGAAGTGGCCGAGGAAAAAAAAAATGGTATTCATTGGGTTGGATATGGCCAAAATTGTCTCTCGTGGAAGCGACGGTACAGGGAATGGTATCAGGTAACGTTTGTGCTGCGTCTTTGCACGCCCATTTTTGATCAGCTACCATGTTGCGCCAGGCTGACTGACATGAAACTGGAAAACAAATCAAAACCCATTCCGACAGTCCTCGATCTCTGCTCCACAACAAGTGCCCATGGTTTTGATGGGAACAGTACGACTCAACTTGTGGCACAATCTAAAAATGTGCTGCAGCTGCGACGGATGAATTGAAAACATTCCGTGGTATATGCGTTGGCACTCGAAAGAATGTTCCAAACAAAGGCGAAAGTGTTGCTGCTTGTTTTGAGAAGAAAGGACCCAGGCAAAAAAAAATGCATTTGCAATAGTCACTAATGGAACAGACAATTAGTTGATATTAATTGTTTCCCGAATGAAGCAGCAAAAAAATTGTTTGTCAGCCGCTGAAGCTGGCAAAGTTGTTGATTGAGCACCAGGGAAAATTTTAGGGGGGAATTCATCCCCGGCCCAAAGCAAGATGAGAGTTGAGATCAGACTGGGTCTTGATTCCAGGGATGAAGGTTGCCATAGTCGAACACGCAAATGCTACAAATGCCTGCTTTCTATCATCCCCCATCCAAAAACCCTGCGCAAAAAGAACACGCGCCAGCAATAAATGCAAAACTATGATCATCAGTTTTGTAAGTGCGAAGGAACGGCTGCAAATCGGTCCCTTTTCCTTAAGCCGACGGGCCTTGATATTCAGACATGTACTGGTTCCATGTCCATGGTGAAAATGACATCAACTCGACTGCAAATGAATGTGAGTGTCATCCTTGCGCAGAGTGCCATGCTATGCATGAGTGTTTCTGACAATTTTTCGGGCTCCTCGTTGCTGATATGAGGCATGAATTGGATCAGCACTTTCTCACCGCACCTGCGCAATGTTCTCACATCCAAAGTGTTGCAACTGTATGCAAAACTGGCATTATGGTAACGCGGAGTTGGCCAGTATTCCGCGGCAGGAAACCTATTTGATTTGCAAATGGTTCTTTGGTTTTGCTTTGGACTTCCATTGAAGTCTCTGTACTGAAAAAACATATTTGCTTCACAAGTATGCCATTTCTCTGAGAAGGTGGCTGTATTCACGGTATCGATTGGAAACAATTTAGTTGGTCTCAGGTTGCCTATTGGCCATCAATTGAGCTGAAAAAAAATACTGAATCTTTAGGTTTCGCGGCAGAGGTTGACGGGTGTTCAGGAGGCTTACTAGCTGCATCAACAGATTCTGCAAGTCGTTGACATCTGCATTTGACCTTCTCATGAGTGCTTCATACAGCTCGTTCTGAAACGTCTCAAAGACCTGACTGCAATCGGAAGCTGGAGCAACACTCACCTCAGGGTCGTTAACTGCAGTTTCAGATTCACCTCCTTCACCTTGCAACATATCGGTATCTTCTCCGCTGAAATCAACTCCTCGATTGGCTTGTCGAATTGCGCTAAGATATTTTTGTTTTCCCATCGTCATCGATGCAATCAGATTTCCCCTTTCAACTGAATACATCCTCGCTCTTTGCTCTGGAATGAGCGTGTCGAAATAGGTATATCCACCTGGATGCGTAACTCCCCAATTCTACGCTCTCAACACTGTCACATAGCATTTCGTGCTGGCCATTGAGCTCCTCGTAGGCAGCAGGCAAGCGTCGAACATTAGTTTGACATTCACCAAGTTCGTTGCAAAGCTTGTCAACTAAAGGTTCCAACACCGAGATGTCAGTTTGGAGAGTCTCAAAACGTGGATGTGTTTTGTGGATCATGTGGTACACCTTGTAGAGAAAGTAAATCAAACCAGTCAGCAAAAACATGCACATGAAAATGAAGCTCCATGAAAAGCTCGTGGATTGCAAACTCGGATCATTGGGCTCGAATGCACATTGTTACTTTCGGAAGCATCAGCATCAGGAACAAAACTTCCTGCTGCTCCCAAAATGCCATCGGTAGGCCCAAGGCCCATCATCAAAATGACTCGTGCAATTTGTTTTGCAAGCAAACCAATATGTTTCACTGACCCATGTTTCTTGACTTGGATCTGGAACTCCTCCTCTCCAATTGCTGCTGTACCTGATTCACTTGACATATTGACTTCATGCAACAGCAGACGAAGTCTGTTTCCTCCCAAGGGTTTTGTACCTAAGTCACTGAAATTCCATGTAGTTCCAACTTGAGCCAATTGGACGGAACCCTCACTCACAGCCTGTTGGATCCCAAAAATCCGTCCTGCCATGTGTTTCAGTTTCCCTGGTCGAAGCCTGGTGGGTATTTGTCTGGCGGAAGAGGAATCGACCAATAGGTAGCGCTCCACCTGGCAGTTCATCGCGAATTGGATGCATCTTCTAAGAAAAATACCATCGCACAAGCATGAGGTCATGGAATGCAGTTCGGCTTCACAGCTACTCAGGCTGACTCCTCTTTGGGTTCTACTTCAGGCATATACAAACGATCCGTTTAACATGTGCAGTCCACAGGAAGTGGAACAGCGGTGGGCTTGATGCCCTGACCAGTCAGAATCGCTATAGCTCTCAAGAATCCAATGCTTCTCTGTAGTTTTCAGTTTTCCCTGTCCTCCTTCAGGCATTTCCAACATCATGCAAAACTCAGAGGTGGTTTTCAGGTAACCGACCAGCTTTCTCAATCGTGCAACAGCTGTCAGCGTGGGCTTGCTCATGGCGCCGCTAAATTCTTTTACTGTGAGATAGAGATCCGGGCGATCTCGGGCAAGATATATCTCTAAACTGCGTCCCTTAACCAACACAGTACATACACTAAACAGTGTTGTGTTTCGCAACGCATTATCCATCCACCGTAAACAAACATAGGATCAATCAATATATAATATATATATACAAAGGAACCCACATGATATACGTGTATAACATCCATTTATACGTCGCACAAACATATCTATATATTCAAATCAAACTGATACGCAACGCAACGCAATCGTGGTGACATCAGTGGATTCGTCAGGTGGAGCAACTTGCACTGTTAATGCAAAAATTTGAAACACACAGAAATCAAAACAGTGGCTGCCAGCACATGTAAACAAACTCAAAAAATGGTAAATCAAAACTGTCCCACGCCCACGCTCTTCATATTATTCCTTTTTGCTGATTCGTTATTGCATGCGTCCTGAGACGTCTGGGGTTTACGTACATCGTTCGTCCATCGCAACAAGGTTCTCTGGTTTTCACACAATTGCCACACGGGCAGTTAGCTTAAGCCAATCACAATGGTCATTTGACCCAAACAGCAATTTCAAGACAGTGCTTCCCCCTAAACGCGGGGTTGGGTTGGGCGGGAGCGTTTTGTGCTCCTACAATAGGCTGAGCCCTACTGCAGATATGACCACACGTTTCAACATACCCAAAGTGCATTCAAACGGCTCACAATTGTTCAGAGATTTTTCCTGCCAACGTTTATATATATATATATATACATTCACACAGATGAAAGTTCACCTTCACAAGTCAACCTTAAGACCTCCAGGTTAACAATTCAAAAGACGATGTATATATATATAAACAAGCAACAAAAAACAACAACAAATCATTCCGTTGGCCAGTCGATTCGTTCAAAGCTCTTTGCGCTAAGTTGATTCGTCAGGAAAAATCACAAACACAAATAAGTCGAAGATCGGCAATCCACAAAGATACAAACAATCATTGCAACATCTTCTGTTTGTTGTGCACACAAATTTCCTGCGTACAGAATTGGACAGCTTACAAGTTGAGAAATCACAGCAACATGAAACCCCTGCACATCAGTCCTCTGATCAACACCGTTAACAGCGTCGCGTGAGACAGGGAGGAAGGTTGCAAGACAATGGCCAGAGGCCAGACAATGACATAGCTACGCGTGCATGTGACAGCCGACAAAGGAGAAGGGACGTTGACACTGCGCAGTCTATAGATGGCGCTCTCAATTCCATTGAACGCTATCATCTCTAAACTGCGTCCCTTAACCAACACAGTACATACACTAAACAGTGTTGTGTTTCGCAACGCATTATCCATCCACCGTAAACAAACATAGGATCAATCAATATAATATATATATATATATAAAGGAACCCACATGATATACGTGTATAACATCCATTTATACGTCGCACAAACATATCTATATATTCAAATCAAACTGATACGCAACGCAACGCAATCGTGGTGACATCAGTGGATTCGTCAGGTGGAGCAACTTGCACTGTTAATGCAAAAATTTGAAACACACAGAAATCAAAACAGTGGCTGCCAGCACATGTAAACAAACTCAAAAAATGGTAAGTCAAAACTGTCCCACGCCCACGCTCTTCATATTATTCCTTTTTGCTGATTCGTTATTGCATGCGTCCTGAGACGTCTGGGGTTTACGTACATCGTTCGTCCATCGCAACAAGGTTCTCTGGCTGTCACACAATTGCCACACGGGCAGTTAGCTTAAGCCAATCACAATGGTCATTTGACCCAAACAGCAATTTCAAGACAGTGCTTCCCCTCTTTTCCAATTCACTTGAGGTACTCTTTCATGTGCGCCACAAAACTCACTGCACCGCACACCAAGTTACAAAGCTTGGCACTTGGATTTACCGGAGGGATGGTCTGGCCTCCAATGATCCTAGCTGCTTCTTCAGGCTGCTGCCTGGAAGGTAGGTCGCCTATGTTGGACTTGGTAGGCACCCTTGATATCCAACAGAGGCACTGTAGTTCATTCCAAAGGCGATGCAACTCTGAAAGTAGAACAAGCACCGACAAAGACTTGGATGTCCCTTTCGCCACCGAGTCTCGTATGGCATTGTTATCAACAAAAACCAGCACTCGTCTCTTTCGGCAGAGTTGGCCAAATTCAGAAAAGAAAACCACGACCGGCAGCAGCTCAAGTTCCGCAATGATTTGTGACTTGCACATATCCCTCCAGTGATCTACTAAGGGTCCAGGCACTGCCACTTCGCAAGCTAGTTTTGTTCTAGTAATGGGATCCACGATCACAAGCCCAGCTCCTGCCGGTTTTGGTGAGCCCGGCTCCCAGGCCCCATCGGAGAAGACGAGCACAGGTGTCTGCTCATCGTCCACTGTTAAGGTGCGAGGTTGAGCATTCTGCAGTACGACCCGCGCATATAAACATGCCACTGCCAGCTCCGGCTTGAGACTGTCATCCCATCCTTGATTTGCAATCCGACTGAAAGCTTCATTGCTGGTTTCAAAGGTGCCCCCAAAAACTGACCCTGTGCAAAGTTTAGTTGACCATGCAATGACGCTGACACTTCAGAATCCACTCTACCGTCACAGACAAGGCGGTCTAAAAGCGCAGTCAGAGATTCCACCCTGGACTGGGCTTCTTGTTCTTAAGCACTAACGTTCCACGATGGACATCCTTCAGGTCAATAGTGACCCCTAGCACATCAAAAACCGATGCAAAGGGGGGGGCCTTGTGGCCTGTCCTGGCAAATTTCCAGCCCAGAAAATCTAGTATTTCGGCCATGCATGTTTCCGCTGTAGAATTCGCTGCGAATCCCGGTCTTCTCTTCGGCTTTGTAGGGTTTGATCACGGTCCTGGTGATTTCGGCTGTGTGCGCCACGTACTTGGGCAAGTTTCTCCATTGCTCCATGCCTGCCTTGGTGGCCTGGACTTCCATTTCGGAGCCATCTCGGAGGAGGATGCGGGCACAATACGTTTTTTCTTGCCAGTCCTCAATGCGATCCGTCAGGATCTGGAAGAGCACGTTTTGCTTCTGGAGGTGGACACCTGCGGCGTCAGCAGGCCCTGCGCTGCGTCGGGAGCCAGCGGATTCATTGCAGCTGGCGCAGCTGCGTTTGGAGCTGGCGCATCCATTGCAAATTTCACGCCCGCGCTGTGCGCTAGGTCGGAAAGTCGCGACCGGATTGGTTTTCCTTTGACGCCTGCGCCTTGCGCTAGGTCGGCAATCCCCTGGAGCTTTGAGACAGCTGCGCAGCAAGAAATATTTGATCACAGCGCGCGTTTGACACATGGGTTTCATGGGAAACGCAACTATTCAGCACATGTACATACGTTTGGTATTGGTGGAGACACAGAATTGGTGAATGGTTTACGTTCGACGCCTGCGCCCTGCGCTAGGTCGGTAATCAAGGCACAACTTTGCGCTGCGCGACTTGAAGCCTGAGCAGCGGCACAGCAGAGGTTTTTTCATTTCGGTGCAGGGTTCAAAGTTATAACACATGGGCAGCAATACTATGGTGCTGCGGCATTTGCAATTCTGAAACTAGCAGCAGTCCAGAGGCCTATAGTCTGGTTGTTCTCGACGGCGGAAAACAAGTCCTGGCACATTGCTTGGCATGTGTCGTACGATGTGTGTGCTTTGTCAGCGTTCCATGTCTAAGCAACAGCATGCACGTTGTTATTTTCTCTTACACCGTATGAATGCAGTAAGTAGGATGTTCTGCTAACAGTTGACTCTGCTGTCTCACTGGGCTCCACCATAGGAAAATCGTCATAGTAGACCGTCATCCACAGTGAAAGCAGGCTTGACAACATATGCCAAAGGGAACGGGTGATCCGGTTGAAAGCATATACTGCAGCGGTTGACCCAAACATCAATGCTGAAGAAACAAAATATTTGGCACAATCATTCTCGGGGTCATACACCATAATAATGCGGTTCCAGAGGTCTGTCATGCATGGCCCCACCTGTTTGTACGCCGATTGCAGGTCCAGCGTCCTGCCCACCAGTTGTAGTGGCTGGCTCCATAGAGCAGACACTGACACGTACACAGAGGTGGTAATGGTGCCCGATTTCTGTTGCATTGCCCGGGCAGCTTGTAGCACCATAGCCACCAAAGTGTCAATGTCAAACAAGGTCAGCTTGTTGCTGGTGCCATATGCCGAATTGAGCCCTGATGCCAACGCATCATCAATCAGTCTTGTTTTGTCCTTCTGCTCCAGTGGAAAACGCCTTGTGGCTAACCAATCATTAGATCCCACCATGTCTGAGATTTGCCTCTCGTCATAGGGTCCATGCATCCAGCCAGCGTCGCATTCTTCCAAAGTTTGTTGCCATACCAACTTGTCCAGCTCCTTCCGACCGCTTGACTTGCATTTAGCCAAGTTGGCCTTACGCATCCAGAGGCTTTTGCGCCGCAGCTCTTCCGGCGATTGTTGCATGGATGAAAAGCCACGAGGAAATTGTGGGGAGACCTTTGCTTGTCCCACCAGTTTGAAACCACTCAACATTTCGTCAAATAAAGTTGGGTCGTCATACCCAGTACGCAGCATCAGCTCTTTCCACAACAATAAGCGTTTGCCCTCCAGCAGCTTAGCCATTTCTGGATTCAATTGTTGATGCAGCTTCTGTTCTTCACTTTCCAATTGCACCGCAAGCTTTTTAACCTTGAGCACCTCAAGCTTTCTCCTGGCATTCACTAGTTTGGGCCCGTCATTGAGGACCTTTGCAATGTTCTTCACAAGCAATTCAGGAAAACTGCATGCAAAATCAATGGGGTGCTTGGCCTGCAGCGCTGCTTGAACAAACTCTTCATGCGTTCTGTATACACCAAAGACTGCGTCACCCATTTTGTGCTGATCTGAAATGGACACCAGTGTGCCTCTGTCTTTCATGTCGGCCTCTAACCCCTTATTTCCCCAAGTAGGTAGAGTTGAAAGGACCTTGAACTGCACATCCTTTGAAGGTTCTTTGTCTGTTACCAGCTTGTATTCAGATCCCAGCGGAGGCAGCGCAGCCCAGCCATGTCACTTGGCAATCCTGGCTTCTTCTTGTGCACCTGTCGCAACATAAGCAGAAGAAGGGACAGTAGTTCCCCTGTTGACAGCTTCTTGTTTGACCAAAGTTGAAACACGCCGACACAAAAGCTCCGGATAAGCTGCTTCGGATTTTGTCGGGAAAACAGGATTGCCATGTTGATCTATGTAAGGACGCCACTCGCCCAATGGTAAATACGCCACATTTGCAGTCATCAGCATGTTGAACAAAACGTCAATGACAGCTTGCTTTGTTAAGTCTAACACCATGAGTTTGGCTTTCAAAAGCTTTCCTTTTTTATCGTCAATTGGTACGACCGAAAAACCTGCTTCCCTAAGCGACGACGACAACTGAGCACTCTATTTTGGGTTTCAAGAATTTTGAGCCCCAGCGACTGACATTAATGCACGGGTGATTGGTGTGGCACAAGGCAAATGTATGTGGCCAAACCCATGCTGAAACAAGCCAGGGCGCTTTTTGTGCCAGAACTGAAGGCCCTCGAGGACGTGGTAGTTGATGAAGTTCAACCACACCTGGTGGTGACAGCTGGTTACTTGCTTTTCTGTGTCATGGACGTGTGCCGCTTCTTTACAGTAATCTGTATTCAGGTTCAACAACGCTGTCTTGGTTGAGGCTGGAACTTCAGTGCACACGGCACACACGGCAGGGGTGGGGTAGTGGCCCGTCCGCCTAGTGTTGCACCCGGGTATCTTGGGCCGAGCGTTGAGTCAAATTTGTTGACAAACAGTTTGCAGGAGTGAACAAACAGTATCTCTTGCCAGCTTACAGTGAGCAGCTGAACCGTTGGCTTCGGGATCTTGCACTTTGTCAACTCGGTCATCAGTTTTCGATTGCAGTCTCCAGCTCTTCAAGTCTGTGGCAGGTGTGTGAAACGGCCCAAAAACAGCTCCGTCATGGTCTTTGTCCAAATCAGTCAGCGTTTCTTCCAGCTCAATTTGTCGGTCCAGTGTCTGTGCTCGAGGAGCGTCAGGTCCCAAATGTTCAGTGATATCAAGCATCGTGTGGATAGACGCCTGCAGAGGCGTTATGTTGTCACGCTCCTACGGGCTCAGACTTGCTATGCAACCAGTGTGCAGGTTCAAGCTGAGCCTTTCCAGTCTTTCTATACACTCAGGCATCAGAAACTTTGTTAAATTGTGTTGCATCAAGCGCCCATCCGCCTTCTCAGCAGAAATATAACCACAACTGAAGGAACACTGTGGCTACGTTATCTGGTTCAGATGAATGCAAAACTGGTGAAGCCTTGACATCCCGTAGTATGAAAACCACGCTCTTGTCTTTGAGGTGCTCAACTTCCAGCAGAGGCGGGTGCTAGGACACTACATAGACGTGGGATGGCCAGCCCGCTCACTTGATTCAACGCATGTTTGCTTTGATGACCAAGGAGCCTGTCGAAGGATTCAGAGCGGTGACATTGCAGCAGGTCGTAAATGCTGACACAGCCTTTAGAGCGCATGAAACAAGTTATCATTTGCTGCCACCACCCATTTTGGGAGGGCAGTGTTGGACTACGTGACGGTCCAAAGCCTGAGAATGCCAACGTGCAGCCAAAGCGAGTGTCCAAACAAGTCGTAACTAGAAAGTGGAGATAGTGTACCCAGCAGACCGCTATCTCTGCAATAACAGCTGCTGGAATTTTGCTTTGATGATATTTTGGTGTCCATCGATGGGACTTCAGCACCTTCCAATTTTGAGGTGCTCTGTATAGAGATTTTTGCTGGTTGTGGGAAAAACCGCACTGATTGCAACACTGCTTCACCACTTGCGTGCACTTTCAGTCAGACCAACCCTGAACATCCAGACTTCTGTCTAACCCATGCAAAGAGGGCCCAATGAATTGGTACGCTTGTACAGCGTCGCAGTGGCCTTGTTGGAGCAAGTGTCCCTGAGAGACTGCCACACTGGGAGTGGACCATTGACGCCATCCCCGTGAGCTGCCAGCTTAGTCTAGGTCGGTGCTTTGTAAAACAGGCTCATCTGGAACGATCCCTCCAACAGTGATTTTGCAAAAATTTCTCATACCAACGACAGACTGCTTCAAGCTTAGCTGCAAATCGGTAAAAGCTCTCTTTGGGTTCAGGGACTCATTGCGCTCCCACAGCAGCTTTATAGGCGTTGACAAGTTTCTCAAAACCTGGGCACCAGCCAAATCCTGCAGGCTGGCAGCAGCAGTCTCAGAGCCTTCTTTTGTTGTGGAGCAGTCTGTGACAAATATACACCGGGACATCGTCGCCACACCTGCATTGCGAAAATCCAACAGGACCTAATTACAACCACTAGTCGCGCTCCTAACGTCGCAAGGGTCGGCTTAACTCCGCGTCGAGCGTTTGACAAGTTAAAACCCAAAAACACGACGGCTTTCACTGCAAAACTCAATTCCCTTTTCCACACAGGAAAACACGAAAAGCGAGCAAGCTGTCTATCCAGCTATGTCTTGCACATGCAGCATGCATGTTTGACTTCTCTTGTCTTGGCTGGTCTGCTCTGTTGTAAAAAGGCAGCGGCGGCATGCAAAAACAACTTCAGAATAAAACGGTCTCCACAAACTTCTTCTCACTCAAAGGCGGTGAATTCGACTTGTTCGAATTCACCATGTTGTTCCACAAACATCTTTGTTCATTCGCATCTTCTCGTCAAATTCCAAAAACATCAAAAACGTTGGCAAAAACATTTGGCAACTTCCAGAAACGAAAATGCAGTCCAGTTGAGAAAACATTCTGTTGAGATTGTTGAAAAACATCATGCACATGGAGTTGAAAAACGACGTCAAACTTCACCTCAGAACGTTCACACCAAAAACGCATTCCAAATTCATTTGCTGTCCAGATTGCATCAAGTGCAAATGAATTTCACAGAAAACGAAGTTCTTCTCCAAAAAGTTGATGTCAAACATCATCATCCAAAAATAACCAAATCTCCATGCTTCTGTATCCAAATTCAGATGTCTCCACATCGTTCTGCATCATTTCCAGAGTTCTGTTCAACCGTATTGTCAAAAACATCAAATCATAGCCACCATGCCAGTTACATGCAGGAAACGTAGCACATGCCCACTGTATGCACGGGAGTGTATATTTCCATACCCCCTTTTGCTGCGTTTCCCATCCATCCAAACCCAGCTAAATTCAGTCGAAGTCAAAAGCTCACACATGCTGTCCATATGTATAAAATTGCTGTCATCTGTTCAACCTCATGTGAGGACTTGCACTCGATGTCGCATCTTCACACCAGTTGCAGATGTATTGCAAAAATACCTGTGTACTCGAATTAATCCTGTGTTTATATCCATTGACCGTGTCCACATTCTCATTGATGTAGAAAGAAAACGAAAAGGTTGTGCAAGAATGCCACATTGAAATTGCTCCACAACGAATTCCCTGCAGTCCAGCTCATCTCAAAGGAAGCCCAAAGATTCTGCAGAGAACATTCATCGCAACAAATTCCAGGCACATTGCACATGCAAAACCAAAAATCGCCACATCCAGCTCCACATTGGCATCCGCAATCACTCCATTAGCGCCAAGAGAACTCACGCTGGTAGACATAGCCGGCATTGAGGAATGCGTCTACCCTGCAGTGAATTAAGAAGGCACAGAAATCAGGACCCTGTGTCCTTGGCGTTGGAGTTAATTTCTTGCGGAACTGGCCAATCATCTTCTTTGCGTAGCGGCACTCCTCCATGCTTTGGTTGAAGACCCTCACAACAAAATCATGGTAGGTGATGGGCTTTTCGGCAAAACGGCCCATCTTGAGAAGCGTGCATGACCAGTGATAGGTATCCTTGATCCATGCAGGCTGTGGCACATTGAAATCGACCTCTTCATAGTCGATGGTGGCATCCTTCCAGTTTGCATCCCACTTGTGGGTTGTTGGCAGCCCTGACTGCACCTTTGGAAATAGTGGCGGGGAGTCGCCGGTGTCGGAGATGAAGGAAAAACTTCCAAGCACACTGCTGGCACTTTCAGCATCCGAATTCGACTCGACAGCCTCATGCCGTCTTTTGGAGCCATCGGTCATAGCACCATTGTCATGCATTTTGTTCGAATTGCCTTCCACAACCTCCGGAGGCTCTTCGGAGATGCGTGCACACTTCGAACCAGAAGCTTTGGGAGCAGGCAACATTGGTCCTTTGGGACCCTGCTTCCCTTTGTCTCCTTCCTTTCCTTTGGATTCACCTTTGAATTCTCCCTTTGCCACATTCTTGCCACCTTTGTCATCTTTGCCACCCTTCTCAAATTCCTTGCCGCCTTTTGCAAATTCTGGCTTACCACCCTTTTCGAATTCCGGCTTGCCACCTTTGACATTGTCGGGCTTACCACCTTTGTCATAGTTCTTTCCTTTGCCCTTCTGCTCCTGGAATGCTTTCTCACTTCCAATTGCAGACGCAGGCAAAATCGGTGGGTCTGCCTTCGCTGCAGGAGGTAGAGGAACCTGTGCATTGAATTTTGGAAATCCTGCAGACTGTCCATCAGCATCGGCACAGTAGCGGTTGGCAATCTCAGCAATGGCTGCAGCCGCAGCTTTAGCCTCTGCAATATCCGCATTCTTCTGCACCACATTTCCAAAAAGTTGTATCACAGGCTTGTCATTCTTTGGGTCTTTGACATCATCCTCAATCCAAGGGTCGTCATTGGGATCATATGGCCTGTCTTGCCATTTCTTGTGGTATTCACGTGCATCGACGATCCCTGAATTCCCTCCAGCTTGCAAAGTAGGCGGCGGTGTTGCCGGAGGCACCTTGTATGCATTCTGGCTGTAGGCATCCGGCCATAGGGCACCAGGTGGTGCAGCCGATGCAGCTGATGAATTCGTGCCTGTCGGAGCATGCACTTTGGAG